CGCACGGAATTGGTATTCGATAAAAGACACCTGAAGCATGCTCACTTCGATTCCTCTCCCCCTCATAAATAATTAACCGAATGCTACATAATTCAATCTGTAATCATCAATTACAATCAATGCCGCAAACTTTACTTCTCATAATTACTATTATCATTTCCTCTTCTGCGTATTTATTTATTTAATGCCCTACACTTACTTGCTTAACGTGTATTATATCGATTTCTATTACATAATTGATTAAATGAACTATGTAATAAAATGTATGAAATACAAAATCAAAGTTTCATATATATTTCATTGTAATCGATACAAAACGAATGAAGAATAATGTAAATGCATACAATTTCCCTATTTTTTTTTTATCAAATTTTACTTTACAAAATGTCTACCTATGTATTTTTCATACTAAATGATGTATAAAAAACAATGAAATATCCATCTATTCATAGTGAGAATGAGTACCAAATTTGACAGGTTCCACTGTTTTTTTTATAAACATTTTTTTACATTCTTTACATTATTTTCTTATTCTTTTTCTTATGTGTATGCCCCTCAACTTCGGTTCTTTTGGAACTGGTATTTTGAGCGGGCTTGTTGGTTTTTACTTGTTCTATGTCTTCGTTCTTCGTTCTGTGATTTTGTATCCAACAAATCATTTTTATTTTGAACTTGTTGATGTCGCTTTCCATTCGTATTTCCTCTGGGGCCATGTTATATTGTGCAACGCCCTCCGCCAGCAAACTCCTATTCATTATAGTAGTCGAATTTTGTTCCATCCTTATATTTTTTCTTGTTCTTGTGTTGTGGTTATAGTGTTTATAGCACTCAATCAAGAAACGTGTTTATAAGAGTTAGTATTTCCATAGTCAGCATCCCATAGACAACATCATCCAAAAAAATATCAACTTGGTAAGATATGTGACTATTTCAACAATTGTAACTGAAATATTACTGAGATCGGATGATCAAGTCAAAATTAATTAATAAAAATTATACATATATACACAAAGTTTACTGACTTTGTTACCTCGAGTACTTTTGTAAATCCATTTTATATGTGCGATAAGTCGTTTACGAGGAGTTAAAAATAAAAGCTAATCTCTTTATGTGCAACACAAAAAAACAGAAACAGTGGCGCATTTATATGGATGCTCGAATATACATGCTGTAAATTACATTGATTATGCAGCAATGATAGTTACAAATATATCAAATTTCAGTAAATGGAAATTTTATTACAAACAACAATATTAGCAACAATATACCAAGACAAAAAACATTAAACAAAAAATAATATATTTAATTAAATCATTTGCTGTAAATCCAAAACACAAATGTATTATGTCCAATCATTATTATAATATATAAACAAACTATGTACGCTTTTTTATATACAAAAAATATGAGTATAAAGAGACCTCCACCAAGTCCCCGAATTGATACAAGTAATATAAACTCACGTCACCGTATGTGAATTGGAAAACAGTTCCTGGTGTCATTCTAGTTGCATCTTAGTGTTGTTTGTATCACAAAATTTCCAGACTTGTGTCCAGACATGTTGTTTGTGCAAAATTTAATAACACTTGCATGTCGCCGAATAAAAAGCCAAAGAATAAAAATAACCATAGATATGAAAAACAAAATCATGAAAAATCGAGACCAAGTTATACTTTTTTTTTCCGGCATGGAAACGTATTATCGTAATTAGTTTATATGTGAAAAACTGTTTCACTATACGAGTATTTCACTATACGAGTATTTCACTATACTAGTAAAAATCCGAAAAATTTGGAACGGATTAAACTCGTTGAGCGAGATCCACTGTATATTTTATTATATCCACCATAAATAAAATACATGTAACAATAAGAATTATTCATTAAATTCGATAATTATTATTAAAAGATTAGAATCCACCAAATGGAAATTTTATATTTTTGTAATTACATAAATTTCAATTGTAAATACGTCGAGTGTATTCTTTCATTTATTTTAAAAACAATTAAAGCTTTATAATACAATAAGAATATTCAAGAATATGCATATTTCAAATATTTCATCAATAGTGAAAATATTTAAAATTTAATTCACTAACCAACAAATATTGATAATCAAAATATTGTAATAATAATTAGAGATGAATTGCAATCCATAAGTCATCTACATTTCATTCATAGATAATATCTTACAGTAATTATTGTATCTATAATTATTTATTTAATTATGTTTACTTACATTTAACAAGTTCATATTGTGCCATATTAATCAAGCATAAGTTTCTAGTTATGTTATGAGTTGTCTTATAAATAGAAAGGATATATTCAGAAATGCTTTTAACACGAGTTACGTAGAATTAATTTGTTTTTATTGAACTATACTAAAATTACATATCTCCACTTTATGATTTCATGGTTTTACTAAATCTATTTCCAATGTTTATGTACATTCAGTTAAACACTTAACTTATGGAAAATAATTTATACGAATTTTCGTATCTTAAAAACTGAGGACAAAAAGCTACATGTTATTCTGTTTAATAAACTTTCAACAAAAATAATCAACGATAATTGAAATTTTGAATTTAGGTCATTACCTAAACATGAGTTAAGTGTTGTAATGTTTCTTTTTAATAATTAAGCAAATTGAAAAATTGTAGTCTTGAATTACGAAAAGACACCTCATTTTATGAAGCACCCACCATTATTAATGTTTGCATACATTTAAAACTTACAATTTACAACAGTCAGGGCGAATTAGTTCAAAATACTCACCAAGAACAAGTAAACCTTTACGAAAATAATCCAATTAGTTAAAAATATTGAAAGTCAAAAAAGTTTTGAACTTTTAAATTTGAACGATTATTAAGTTGTTAGTTAACGCGTTAACGAGAACGAGAACGAGACTAACAATTTTGAAATATTAAAGTAATTTTATAGAAAAACCGAAAGTGAACTTCATTTAAATAAATTATTCGATAAAACTATTGAATAGAATAATATTAACATATCAAAATTTGTTTACGCTTGAATTGAAAAAAAACAATTTTATTCAAATATTCATATAAAACTTGATAAACATAATCCAAAGAAGATAATATAATTCAATCATTCTGAATTCCTTTTTCTATCATTCATTTAATATAATTATCGGTCACACTTATATAGCTTTTTCGCTAATTTTTTTCTACTCATTGAAACTTTCGAAATTTTAAAAAGTTTTAGCAAGCTTGAATTGTGTTTTAATGATCATGTAATGGTTCTTAACTTTCAGACGCATTATTAATAGAAATAGTATATTCAGAAATAGCTCTTGCTTTAAACTCGCGACGTTATATGAATTTAATTTGTTTTATTATACCCAAAATGCATATTTATACTTCAAGAATTCCTGAATTTACTAATTCAATTTTTCAATTAAATGAAACTATATTTGAAATCTTTTTTATTATTTGTTATTGGATAATTTTTTTTAAACAAGCTTTATTCTTATTATTTGTGATCCATAAGAAAGTTAAAGACTTCTGTGTTTCCAATAAATTATACAAACTCTATTTACATCTTTTAGAACATTAATTGTTAGAGGCAATAACGATTTAATGAATACTGAACTAATTGTTGCTGCTCCAATCCTTTAGTTGCTTCCTGAGCTACAGCTTATTGCACTTGTGGATAAATTGCTGAAATTGGTGGGAAAACTAACATTTATAATCTTATTATTGGTTTTGATAAACGCTTAAAGGTTTCTTTCCATAGAATATTTAATAATAAATAATTAAATTCCGAATAATTAATGTTACCATAAAAATGATATTGAAAATATTATTTCTTGTGGATATTGCAGATCGAATTAACGAAATTAAGAGCGTAAGAGGAAGAAACCCTCGCAAATCGAGAGCGTTGCATTTCTATTTATAGAATCCTGTAAAAAAAATGGGGACACGTAATGTGTAATGTAATAATAATAAAATAAACTGTCTGTCGCAAACGTCACCAACGAAGCCTTGGCATTGCCAGGCAGCGCATTTGCATACATTCAAACACTGACTGGTTAAGATACAATCGTTGCGAGAGTGAGAAACATATTTTTAGCCGTTGCGAAAGTGCATTTGGAATGATGAAAATCGCACGTTTTTCGAGTATCGTCCAGTCCCCGGTGAAATCCATGAAAACCCAGCCCATTTGGACACGTAGTGCGATAAGATTCATAAACAAATATGGGAGGATGAGTATGTGATAACAAAAACGCACCTTTCGATGCCGTTGCGCAAGTCGCATAAAGGTTTGGAAACACTATTGCAATTTGTTGCGAAACGAAAGCATCAATTTAGAGATTTTGCAATAATCGAAATTAATTGTGGTATCATTTTAGAGATAATAGGTGAAATCTACGAACAATTTTGATGGTGGATGCGCATGTGAAACTCCGAATGGTCAACAAAATGTTTCAGACCCCTTTTTGTTTCCTTCTCCCTAAGATTGACAACCTTTTAATTGATCTACGTCGGAATATAAAAGTACTATATAATTATGCAATGGAAGGGAAACTAATTTCCTGAGGTGTGCTTTGGTAGGTGTGATTCATGCTCATCGCTATTTATTAGGGACTAATGATATGAATATATCTATATATAATAAAAAAGCGGGTGCGACCAAAGCCTGTCTGGTTTTACGGGATATACCAAAATCGATTGCCAAACCGGGAAATGAATATGTATCCGAGGTGTTCTCAGAAAATCACGATTAATATGTGGATACTTTTCACAGCATCTGAACGTATTTGATCCGCCGAATGCAAAAGATTACCCGTGAATGTGAAGTAAATAGCAGATCAATAGCTTAACCTTCCTTTTAAAATATTTTTAGAGGGATGCCATGCCTGCAGAGTATCCTAATGCATTCACTATTTCCGCTTCCGCATTCGCCGGGCAATCAAAAAATAGTAGTAGGTAGCAGCAATCTATTTTAATGAAGCTCCAGATTTCCTATTCGGATATTTACCATTGGTGATGATGTGCGATGTCTGGCTGCGTGTCTCCTGCCCTTCAACATCCAATCGAGAATCGGCCTTTCGAAGGGATGAAACTAGAAATGGTATCTGAGGTCCCTGGACCGCGGAGAATCGCACAATTCATAAAGATAGGCCCTCGCCTCTTTCTCGCACCGGACGACAACCACACACGCTCGCAATCATCCGCACACACATGCACACACACTCACGCACACACCGGTTCTTAATATCACCTACCACTGGTGATGATTACTATACTTGCCCGCACTTCTCTGTACTACTACAACTAATTTACTTCCGTACGGTGTATTCCCCTTTTTGCTCTTCCTCGTCCAAAAAAAAATTTGTATTCCAACACAGGATGCAGACGCGAGCTATAGGCGCTGTCTCTTCCTTCTTTTTGGCCCCGGTCCCGAGCGTTTTCAATTTTAGACTGTAGTTTCTGTTATTAGGGGGGGCGCTCCCTTGCGTAACGACAGGCGGATCAAAAAAAAATGCTCTTCGGGGGCCCGACACAATGCGGCACTTGCATGTATATTTTTAGTGTGGTTTCGGGGGGTAAAAAATCAATATTCCCTGTACGTGTGCGAGCGTGTGCGTGCGTGTGTATGAGTACAGATCGTACCACCTCACTTCGTTCTCTAAGGGCGAGACGGTTTCAAACACCATAATCTGCTAGCTACCCTCGCTGCCAAACCCGCCTGCGCCATCTGACGTTCGCCAATTTTAAATCTCCCGCGCATACTTCAATTTGATCATCGTGTATAGAACCTGCGACGAAGCATTGTGGATGGCACCACGCTCACCTTCATCATTATTTTATGCGCATGCATTTGTTTCCTAGCATACAGTGATTCCCTCTGTATAACACTAATATCTATTTCTTAGATTCAAATACTATTATCATATCAATGGTCATAAATAAAGTACATTTTGGAAACTAGAACTAGAATACTCCTGTCGTACAGTTTAGCTTAAAAACTACAAATAAATGAATAGTTCAAATCCATTATAGTTGCAAAGTATACTCAGGGTTAGAAAATTTTAAAAAAATCTGATAGCTCACTGCAGTGCTGCGTACACATTATACATTAAATGAGATACATGCATATGACAATATAGGTAACCCTTCAGTATCGGAACTTCAAATCTTAGTCCCCCTGCATAATATTAATCGGGCCTCTTAATTGCTCAGGATTTTTTTTATCCTCTTTATTTGAAATAGAGAAAATTAATGACGGAGGGTGGAGTGTCGGTTCTCTGACAGCCACATTAAATAAATTGTGGGCCCTAGTCAAAGCCATCGCAAAAAAGGTCTGAATCAGTAGTTTGATAATCATAGAGCAACAGATTATATATATTAAGAATTTACTCGAGAGACAGGGACGTCCCGTGCATTTAAAGTGTGTTCCTTCGCGGTATTGCCCTCAAATAGGTGAGGGCCCCCAAACAATGTTAGTTTAGAGGATACATTAAAAATAAAAATTTGATATAAATTATGGATTTACAATTAAATATATATTTATGAGATATCTTTCTTAATAGTTTTGTTGATTTAAGTTTTATTAAGCTATCATTATTATAGTAATTGTCAATTGTCACTTCTTAAACCTTTGCCAGTCCATTGCATCACATGGTCTATATTGAAAGCCCGACAACCGAAATCCCGTCAATTAAAAACCCGATTATATTGAAAATTTCTACAATAACATTTTAAAATTATTTCGGAGCGTAGTCACCATGTGCTATAGTTTTATTATTAATAACAATAAATTAGTATTAATTTATTTGATTTTGTTGAATTATTCATAATAAACCTTAACAATTTGAAATAATATCAAATAGAATTAGATTATTAATTGTTATTATTTATTATTAATAACAATTTAAAAGTGACTATGCTCCGAAATAATTTTAAAATGTTATTATAGAAATTTTCGATATAGTCGGGATTATGGTAGTCGGGATTTCGAACGTCGGGATTTTGATTGACGGTATTTCGGTTGTCGGGCTTTCGATTGCCACCGGATACACACATGTTTGGAGTTTTAAATATGATAAATTTTAAACGGAAAATCATACGGACGTACATGTAAAATATATGCAGACAAGCAAAGGATTCAAATATTTTTAGTAGATAAACTTTTTTGACATAAGACTCTTGGGCAAGGTATATTAACAATAGAAATATATTTGTTTTTATAAACATCGTATTATCACATGCCTTGTACTGTTATGGATATCCATTATAACAACATTAATTGTTTAACTATGATTATTAATTGTATTGTCCACGCTCTTATTGAGACTACTATTTAGTCCACATTGATTATTTACTGATTGTATTTGAACAGGCACTTATTGAGAGTACTATTGATTATTTAAATTTGATTAATTGTATTTGTCCACACCTTTACCCGAAGCTACTGTTTAGTCTAGACATGCACAAATTCATAGATGTAACCAATAATTAATTTCAAGACTAAGAAACCTCGTGAATTGTTTTTTCTACGACCCTCTTACCTGTTATTTTGAAGTGGGTGATTTTCCACTCCTACATGTTGATAACGTATACTCCATAGGACAAATTACCTACTCCTGGATATTCTTCTGTCTTCTTACGGTTCGTCTTCTTACGTATAAGACGATACTTTTATAATTATAAGTTAGTACAATCTCCCGCAAATGCAGCCTTGGTTAAGCAGAAAGCACGGTGAAACAACATTTCACCTGAGCCAGCCGCTGTCTACTAATGGATGCTTTGGCAAGTACCTGCACTACATGCAGGATATGCTAAAGAGCTAGGATATTGTAGCGGCGTACATATCAGAGGTGCTACTAAGCAAAGAATAAGACGAGCGAAGGCTGCAGAGGGCCTACGAGGATAGTGGCAGTGGAGGCCAGCATTAACATGTATGTAAGAATAACTAATAAGGAATGTTTAATTACAAGTTAGTCTTAGTATTATGTTATGTCCAACCATTATTATTATAATTGTTATTGTTAATATAGTGTATTAACGAACTAGACACATCCACGACGTCTCTTAGTCGCATTATTATATAAACATATACATCAGTATAATAGAACGTCCATCGTGATCCCGGTTCGATACACTTTAATATAAACAAAACGAACCAAGCGATACTGCTATACCTTTACTCAGAATTCAAGTCATTACACGTACAACCGTAATCGATCATCTTTTTCATATAAACAAATGCATAGGATTTTGTCCCGGTCTTATAATAAACAAAACCACCAAGGCCTAATCCCGTGGGAACGCTTAATCATCAATATATACAAACCCTGCTCCCAATCACAACTCCCACCCCGTATTAATAATGTAAGTAGAATAAGTATTCAGAATCAATCTCAGTAAAACCTTAATAAGATGAACATAGTCTTATAAGAATCTTAAATCGACCAAGTAACGAATAAAAAGTTATGTAAAACCTAACGAATTTCATTAAATTCCCAACTATTGAGACTCCACAACGACAACACCAGACAATACTCCACTGTGTCAAGAATTCCATTCCTGGGACACGACAATTAGTTCTAGACTCATGCGAATTCTAGTGTAACTCTTGAACAGCAACCTATGATTACTTTATACACCAACTTCTATCTAGACTTTTCCATAAAAATCCACATCGACAAAACTACAAATTATTCCACAGTGTCCAGAGATATTCCATCCCAGGACACGACAATACATTAAACATTTTTACTTTTTGATTAGTCCTTGACTTCTAAATATCGCTGGAATTCTACTAGAATAGTGATGATTAGCTAAAATAACTCGTTTTAAAGCTACAAATATTTATACAATACGCAAGGTTAAAGAATCGATCAATGTTCATCAAGAAGAAAATCTGTTAACATATGTATATTTTAATAATGTAATGAGAGAAACAAACTAGATTAATTATGTCATTTATAAATTCAAGAAATATTAACGAAATTCTGTATTTTTGTAATTATGTAATTAGAGTTCACTACAATTAACCCGACGTAATTTGAAACTAATTAAACAATGAAACCTAAATATCTGTTTACATAAAGTTATACCAATTTCAAATACAAACAAAATTAGTTCAATTATAATTGCAGTCCTTTGTTTTACATTTGAATAATAAAATATGAGCATAAACACGTTTAAATGAGTTCAGAATTGTTTTATAAATTATTGTATATTTAAATAAATAATAAAAATGTGTACCGACAAACTTATACACATAAACCAGTCAGGCAATTATAGATTAATCAATTAGCATAAATGTAAATAATTTATTAAAAAAAAGCAGAATGTACGTTTTAATTACAATATAAATGAAGCATGTATGCAATATTTTTAATTTATTTAATAGAATTTAATACAATTTCTCGTAATAATTTTAAATAAAAATATATTGTTATTTACTAATATTAGTAAATGTATTAATCATATTATTTATAAATTATTTTTTGCTAACTTTCCGTTTATAAAGTAGATCAAATTACATTAATAGACAACTATATAATTAGTCCAATAATTGTAGTTTTAAAAACAGTTAGTACGTCCATAAATCAGTATAATTATTATTGTTTTTTTATACTGGTTGTACTTGTTCGTAAATCAAGTATATTTAAGTTAGCATAAAGGGACATCCGTTTATGATAGTTTTATTGCTGCTCTAAATATAATCGCATTCTAAAAGTCATATAAAAGTATTAGGTGAAGATCCGTGTATTTACTTAAAACTCGTAACTATCTATTCATCCACAAATAATATACAAAATTTGATAATTTAATACTAGTATCTTTTAATAAGAAATATTAGGTGGCAATCGAAATCCCGTCATCAAAATCCCGACTGTATCAAAATCGGATAATTTATGGGAATCCAGAAGATGCAAAGATATTTAATTAGTAAAAAGTGAAGGGACCGACAATTTAAAACCTATTAATAGTAAATATATTTCACTTTATTGGGTAAAAAATAGAATGAAACTTTAAAATATTTGAGTTTACGCGTATGTTATCATCATGTTCTAAATGTAATAATAATAAACATAATTTATTGTACACTTTCTTCTACGCACATATAATAGTCTTATAAATTAATTTTTCGATGGTCAATTGATTAAAATCAAGTATATTCTTGATTACAAAAAATCCAGATTATTTAAAATTCTTGTATACAAATATTAAATTTCAATCTTAAAAATATTATTCTATGCAGATTTTAACCATATCTGTTTTTATCCTCAAAATAACAGTAAATATATTTGATAATATATCATTAATAAATGAGACATTTTGGTAATGGACTGGAATCAAATTAAAATTTAAACCTTTTGATTTTGTTTCAATCCTTTCATGGCACAAGATTTAACTCATTATCTAATTGATATAACATGTTGTTTAGAGCGGTCAGTATGCTAAATTGTCTGTTCACTGTAAAAATAGAAAACATTACAATGCAATTACAACCTGTTACCACGTTATAAACAAGCATTTAAAAGAAACGTTAACATTGAACAGGTTTCGTGACGCCATAAAAACTCTTCCACGTCTGGTACTTTCGTTGTTTCAGTTGATTTCTGAATTAATCGCTAAAATATTAATATTTGACACCAATACGAAACTGTTGTATCATAAATTAAAGATATATCAAGCTTTATTAATATGACTATAAATTTGTTATTAAGTTTCCTTTCTTTTATATAGGTTTTTCAGAATTAAAGATATCACATGAAAATTACTATTTATAAATAACATTTAGTCAATTAGGAAAGGTTGTTAGATCATATAAATTTCATAATAATATGATATATTTCCTATAGGAAATTTTAAATGGTGACATCATTATTGAGCATGCGCAAAAGATATCAGAATAATGATCAATAATTTTGAAGCCTATAAATTACTGTTTTTATAACTTTTTTATGATATTTATAAACAATTTTAGTGGTATTTGGGCAATCGTGCCAACCTGAAATTATAGGCGAGGCGGAAATATTTTGATGTATCCAGTCACCTCCAGTTGCCGGGGAAACAGTAGAAGGGGGATCGTGGTGCTTCAGCTACACGTCAATATCACGCTTGCTTTTGTCTAGAAGCACAGTGTCTCTCTTCATAGTCAACAGGTTTACTAATTGATTTTTGTACTTACAAAACGTTAAGACATTATCATTGATCCGAAGGTAAGGCCGTAGAAATCTTAATACAGACGTTAGCAGTTATCATACGTATGATTATTATATCTATTACATGCACTACTATGACCATTGAACCGGTGAGAATGTCGATTTAGCATGTATACACAAATCAATGTTATCTTTATAGAATATTACCGTTGAAGATAGTTAATTTATTATTAAGAATTCTGTTAACACATGCACATTATTATTACTGTTTACCAAACACCTGTTGTGGTTACGTTATGTTTTTGAAATTTGATAAGCGTTGCGTTTACTTTTCACCTAAACAGCATTCTTATAACATGTAAACATACCTTCTGTTTAATTATTCTTTTTATTATTTACTCATTTGCTCAAGGACAGTCTTATGTAAATATTCATCTTCAACTGTCGAGAAATAAAAATGAAGCTAAATCTAAATAAACGGCTTTCTCTATTTTTAACCACACGCTCCCCGATTTTAACTAACGGAATAAAGTGAAAGCTCTGTAAAAATTTAGAGATAATAAGTGATAATTAGGTTTTTTTTACAAGCAGCCTATTATTTGGCTATGCAATTTATGATGCATACATCTTTTTTTGCAGATAGGTAATTGAATGTAAGAAATTGCAGAGTAAGTTCATAAAACAATTTTATTTCTTTAGTGAATTTGTCCCACTTAAGAAATTTTCCCATCTAATTAAATATCAATTTAAAAATGATAATTATTTATAATTTTATTTATTATACATTATTAGTCACTAATAATAGTAATTAACAAATTTAAAAAAAGTTTTGAAAAAAGTTATTGAGTTTTAATAAAATATGATTTCTAATTTGGTAGAAATGAAGTAGAAAATTTGTCTACAGTTTATAGAGAAATCTGGTAATGCTGCTTATGTATTGTTTCTATTGAATAATGAATGATTATTAATAGTTTCCATTTGATTTTAAAACATAAAAACAACAATAATTGATTGGATCTCTTATACCTTTAATATGTATTTTTTTATTTCTTCACATATACAAAGATTTAGTTATGTCATTCTATTTACATTATTATGATGAACTTCAACCTTTGTATTATTAAACAGAGAGAAAATATTTTGTTCTCAGAAATTGCGCCGATAATTTCACTTAATTGAATTCTGCTTCAGTTAATTGCATAATATAATCGATAAAATGATTGATTTTTCTTAATTTGTATAATTGTTGCAGATGGCGACTAACATAAAAAGTTGGTATAGCGGAAAAAACGTGTTTATTACAGGTGGAAGTGGTTTCTTGGGTATTTGCCTTTTGGAGAAGCTTCTCCGAACAATCCCAGATATTGGAACGATTTATTTGCTGTTACGTCCGAAGCGCGGCAAGGAGATCAACCAGAGGTTGGAAGAGATCAAGAAGAATTTAGTATTTGAAAAATTGTTCGAAACTACATCCGTCGATGAGGTTTTCATCTCTTTCGTAAATCCTTTGAATTGTTGGTAATCGGAATTTTAATTGACAGGCATTCAAAAATGTTAAATGCGTGGCTGGAGATGTTGGCCAACCGGATTTGGGTTTATCACCGGAAGATAGGAAGATGCTTAAGGATAATGTAAACGTCATCTTCCACAGCGCTGCTACCTTGGACTTTGCAGAGTCGTTGAAGACGACCGTGGATATTAACCTTCTTGGTACTAGACGCTGTTTGCAATTGGGAAAAGAATGCACAAATTTAAAAGTGTTCATACACGTCAGCAGTGCTTATGTGAACTCTTGGGCTTTAGTTACTGAAGAGGTAATGGTTTCGATTCAACAAATTCTCGAAAATTAATTTTTATTTTCAGATCGTCTATCCGTTGAAGCAAGACGTCGAAAAATTAATTAAACTTACTGAGACTTTGAGTTCTGAGGAATTGGAAAGTCAAACGCCTGAAATTTTAGGGGATCATCCTAACACTTATACCATCACCAAGCAGATGGCAGAGCATGAAGTTCAAGCTTGTCAGGATTTATTCCCTTGTACCATAGTCAGGCCCAGCATGAGTATGTTCTTTTCTATTAAACAGAAATATAAACTAATCTACACGCATTAATAGTTATTGGAGCTTGGAAAGAACCTATTCCTGGTTGGACCATCAGTAAAAATGGAGCACAAGGCTTTTTGATGGGCGCTGCCAAGGGTGTCGTCAGGCGTCTTCCTGTTGGAAAAGAGATCATCTATGATAACATTCCAGTAGATATTGTTGTCAATGAACTCATCGCCGCCGGATTCCATGCTGGTACATGATTAATAACCATTATTTACTTCTCAATACTGACGACGACTTTTGTATACAGCTGTTACTGAAGCAAAGGAAGTACAAGTGTACCACTGCACCAGCAGCACTTGTAACCCATTCCGTTGGGCAACTGTCGAAGATAAGGTGAACGTGTATTTACATCGTTATCCGCTAAAATCAGCTGTATGGTATCCACACTTGAAGTTCCTTCCAACATTGACATGGTTCAAATTTTCTGCAATTTTCGTGCACATTATCCCCGCTATGTTTTTGGATTTGTTAACAAGAATATTTGGAGGAAGGCCGATTCTGGTTAAATTACACAATAACATTTCTTCTTCATTGGATCGTTTGTCATCGTTTATATTTACCGAATGGAAGTTCCATAACGACAAAACTATGGCACTGCAAAAATGGTTAAAACCGGAGGATCAGAAAGATTTTAACTTGGATATCAGCGAATTGCTGTGGATCGACTATTTCGAAGATCTAACAAAGGGAGCTCGCCGTTATCTTAATAAAGAAAACATGAAAAACATCGAAGCTGCGCGCGGAAAGGACACACTGTATGTATATTATATAATCGAACAATGAATTATTTATAACTTTTATTTTTCCAGTTTAATGGTATTTCATCTGATATTACAAGGAGTTATCTACTGTATGGTTTGGTATACAATTGCAACATGCTCCGGGCTATCAATGACCAGTACTGCATTTATCGTTCCGCTTACCATATTTTTGTGTTCTTACATCTAAGCTTGGGTATAATATGAGTATTATCGTGGTATAGATTATTTATTATCTGGATCTGAATTATTAAGTTTTGCATTTTTAAATATCTCTAATGGTGTTTTAGTTTAGTTAATACATTAAATTAATATAAATAAACTTATATATTAGATAAACAGACAAGTATTATATTTTCTCTAACTTGCTACTTCCCCTTACAATTTAGCCAACTCCTTTAGTTATACGCCAATCATGTATGAAAAGTGATTTGCGAGCGATTTTTAAGAATCCTCAAAAATCAACAAAATTTGTGGGGGCCGATAAACCAGAAAATAAATAGATTCAGAAAGATTTATATCAATAAATAATTGATATAAATCTCTTTAAATAAATCAAAAAAATAAGTTATTAGGGAGACCTCGGATTGATTGTTATTACATTGTTGGATGTTCATTTAGCGATATGTAAAATATATATATTTTTTTTTTTAAATAAGAGATATATATCAATTTATTTATTGATATAAATCTCTCCGGCCCTATTTCTACCACTTTCGGGTGTAATAGCCACCATAAATTTTTGTTGATTTTTTTCGGAATTGAACCAACGACCTTTCGTATCAGATTTTAGTGATACAGTAAAACAGTAAAATAAATATTTGTAGTTAAAGAATACTTTGTTATTTTTTTGTATAATGGTTGGCAACTCCTCTTTTTTTAAAGTGCTTTAAATGACAGAAAGTGTTTGCTGCATTTGCTGCTTCAAAGGTTAAGTTCTCAGCAAACATTTACTCCATTTACTGTTTAAGAATGATTATTTAAATGTGGACCATTGGTATTTTATTAGATGTATTAAAACTATGGCACAATTTTCAAGTAATGAGGCTGTGAGTCTATCCAAAACTATAAACAATCACAAGCAGCTGGCAAACACACCCGATGAACATATTTATGATTATTATGATATAAAGAAGTGTATCTATTGGATACAGTCTAATGAATATAAAAAGGTATGTCTTCAATTCCCAGACTACCTTCTTCCAGATTCTCCAAAAGTAGCCAATCATTTACAAAATGAGTTGCAACAAACAGTTTATGTTTTAGGGGACACAGCTTATGAAAGGTAATAAAGTCAGTTAAATATGAAAAAAAATAGTAATCACATTGTTTTCAGTTGTTGCATAGATTATGTTGCTGCAGCACATATAGATGCAGATGCAGTTATCCACTTTGGTCCAATGTGCTTTTCACAACCAACATGTTCAATTCCTAGTTTATTTATTCATGAAAAACACAAACTAAACATCGAAGAGTTTTTGCAAATAATTAATACAGAATTCTCATCAATCACTGATTGCATTATAGTAGTGATTGATTCTCCTTTGTTGCATTTAAAAGGTAGTATTACAATACACTTCTCATTTATATATATATATATATTAATTGTGTTATGTTTACAGATAATATATGTTTTAATCAAAATAATATAATAGTTAAATCAATAACAGATTCTGATTTGAATGTACAGGAATCTACTGTTATTTATGTTGGAGAAAATGATAGGAAATTAATGAATTTTAACTTTATTCATAAACGTAAGAATATTCGTGAATCTTAATTGCATTTAATTTATATATTTTTAGCTAAACAATTATACTATTACTATAATGGAAACTTATCATCCTATGATGCTGATTTAAAAATACTGAAGAGGCGTTACTTTTTGATTGAGAAAATCAAAGATTCAGAGACAGTTGGTATAATTGTGGGCACATTGGCAATTAAAAATTATTTAAAGATCATTGAGAGAATGAAGAAACTGTTGAAGTTGAATGGCAAAAAGTTCTATATGATTAGTGTTGGTAAACCAACAGTTGCAAAATTGGCAAATTTTCCAGAGATGCATGTCTATATTCTAATTGGATGCGCAATGAATGAGATCTATGAAAGCAGGGATTTCTATAGACCAATTGTGACACCTTATGATGTTGAAGTTGCCTTAAATTCAAATGCATCAACGGATCTAAAATTCAGTTACGATTTTAACTCTTCCATTGCACATGATTCTGATAATTTAGCAGCAACGGATAAAAGCGACGTTAGTTTAATCAGCGGCAATATTCGGTATAACAGCGAAATTAAGATGAACGAGGAGAGTAGGTTGGTTCTTAAGGAGAGTTCTGGTGCGTTGATTGAATCGCATGGAGCCGGATTCTTAGCAAATAGAAGTTGGACGGGGCTTGAGCAAAATTTAGGACAAACTGAAGTTATGTTAGCTGTAGATGGTAGAAGTGGAATAGCGCAAGGATATGCAAATGAATTAGAACTGTAATTTGTTTTAATATATTTATATATTGATGTTAAATTATTTCGTTTTGCCTATTTACAATCTATAAGAAAATTAAATATCTGGGGATATTTTATTTTTATAACTTATTTAACTTAATCTTAGGATTAAATAAGTTTATTTGAACTACTCTTTTTTTGATTTTAATCTGTGCAACATTACGAAATCCAATTATTTTGTAATGTTGCACAAATATATCTTAAGATATATTTCATTTTATATAGTTAAATGATAATTTCAACAATCAGATTAAGCTCGGATTAAATGAATTCAATTTAGAATTACTGTTTCTACGAGTTATCTATTTAAATAAGTTTTCAGATTTAAATAATGTAATGTATTGAAGGAATTGTATAGTATATTAGTTATGATTCGTGTCTGATCAATTTGGATGATCGCTCATATATTTTTTTTAACGCTCGCGCCCCTTTTCTGTACCGAATTTGGTGCTCATCTGCCTAAGCATTAAGTGGCATTTATTTAAAATTTTTGATACCGGGTGTTATTTAGACTTTTATGTTGAATTTTAGTCGCATAGGCGAAGACCACACCTTATTTTTGTAAAGATTGGTAAAAATGAGTAACTGTTAAAACGTCATCTATTTTCAGTAATTGCTTCATGGCGTGTTGTTAATGTTGTGAAAATATAATCAAGCAAATAGTATACTAAGCAGTTCATAAAACAAATTCGGCTAATTTATATAGCAATACGGTAAGTTCATTGGATAATTTGCAAAATTTTAGTTACGATGAATGAAACTAGATTGTGTTGATTCCCTCTACATCAACCGCTATTTTACCGCCTAACGTTTATGCATCTATGTGTATACAAGTGCGCATTCAAGTGAGCACACACCGTGTTATTTCAAAACAAGTTTTCTCGTCTACTGTGCTGAATTCCTTCTTATTCTCACTACCTGCCTATTTTCTAAACAGCGTCCCTTGCAGTTGCTTCGTTCCATAACTTAGCAGGGGTTATAAAGCATCTGCGAAGGTAACATAACCTCAATTACGTTTTATTATATATAAAGAACTCTGATTTATTGTTGCGTCATTGCTATTTTTCAACTTTTTATACGTTCCGTTTGTTTTGTATTTTTTTTTTGTCTCTTAGATGGCCAATGTTGATGAATTCACGGATTCTGAACTCCGGACCAAGCTTATTGAGTATGGCTTTCCTGTCATGCCAATCACTGGGACTACCCGTAAAGTCATGGTCAAAAAGTTGAAACTTCTGATGGAAAATAAAGGGAAGACCAATGACAGAAGGTAATTAGATTCAGGTTATTATTAATCAACTGTGTATAATCTAACAATAATTTGCAGATCACTGGCCCAGTTTTCAAGTGAGGAGGAAAGTGATAATGACGTTAAGGTGATTAAAAAGGATAAGAATCGAAGAGCCACAATGGCTATTGTACCACCAATGCAGCCTCCCACAATTAAGAATGTAAAGAAGATTTTAAGAAGCAACGATGATGAGGCTCCAGTAAGTTTATATTTTCACCATTTAATTTGACTTATTCATGATCACTATGTTTTAGGCTTCAAAATCCACTGTGTTTGAGGAACGCAAAACGCGTTCTTCTAAAATAGAGATGTCTACCACCTCAAAAGATAATGACACAAACTCTGATTCTGAATCAGAAATTGTGGATACTGATTACAAAAAGCCAGTGAGCAGAAACGTGTACATCAGAAAAGGTAAATAGGCATATTAATAATAGGTTAATATTTATAAAACTCGTTTTCAGAATCTCCAATCAAGACTTCAACTTATAAATATTCCTCCAATTCGATATCATCTCCAGTGAGCGATACCTTGGCATCTAGGAAATATTTATCAAATCGCGTTTCGTCGTACGATGCTAGCACAAGTCCAAAAGTAGACACAAGCGAAAAACTGAACCAGATCAGATCACGTCTGAGTTTGTCCAATTCCGTGTACGACACCTCTGCCTACAACCCGATGGAGTCGAATGATGGCACTGAGACGCCGTTCTTGAGCAATTTCACGAAGCGCCTTTCGCAGTTGTCCAGCAACAAGGACGACTTCAATTTTAAGTCTGATGTAATCAAAGAAAGTGACGCTAACGGATCTATCCCTTACAACAGGAGTTATTTGGCAAGGTAATGATCGAATTTATTTATTGATGTATTATTAATTTGTTGATGGGATCGTTACAGGAATAAACCACGTGAATACTCGCGCGAATATCACAGTACATCAGAGCAAAGTGGATCCACCAAAGGAGGAAATTACATATCATTTATTCTAGTTGGTGCAGTGATGCTCTTCTTTCTTGCCTTAACAATTGTTTATTGGGGAATGCACAGCGGCGGCAGTAACAATACTAGTGCCGGTAAGCCCTCCAGATACATCAAATAATTATTATTTTAACCAGTAATAATATTGCTCAGCAAATTATTATCACTTGATCTATGAAATCTTAGTTTCTTTTTCGTTAATTCAATTATTTTTTTATTATACTTTTACTATTTTTTTTCTTCTCACAATGAACACGATCACTCTCTACACTACATTGTACTTTTATTTGTATTTTTAAATAAAGCAATAAATATTTTGATGAATATAATTTTTGTTTTATTCTATATTTATTCGAAATAATCTCCTACGGTTACCCACGAACACACACACAGTCAAAAACAAATCAAAATATTTATTGATATGTTTAAAATTTAGATATGCATGTGTAGGTACTTCTTTGTTATCAGTATTTGCTTTAACTTTATTCTATGGTTTTGAAAGGTCTCGACTTGCCGTTGTGCAAGCAATTGGACGAAAACAGTCGAGCGCGAGAGAACTGTGTCATTGAGGATGATGTTCAGGCGGCGGTGGATTTCTACAGGGTCCTGCAGCCTAAGCTGACTACAAGAGCGATCTCAACGATCTGCGGCGATACGGAACTGCAGCCGTATATGAGCGAAGAAGAGATTATCACCTTCATTAAGGATAATTACCAAAGTCTAGTTAGTGGAATCTATAAAGAATATTTACAGTTTTAACTATTTTTTAATGTTTTTTTCCAGGACGAATTCACTATAACGCAAGATTTGAGCAACTTTGTGATTTTACTTTTCAAAAACAGCTTTTGGGGTGTTACTGTCTTGCAGAAGGATGGACCTGAAGGATCACTATTACCTATAGACTCGTTGGTAAGCTTCACTCATTTATTTCCGTTATCTGTAATGAATATATTGCAATATCATATTACATAAATCTAAAAAGTTTAAAAAATAATTACAAATAATTTTTCCATTGCAATTGATTATTTTATATATAATTATTAAATGATTTATTATTTCCAGGACGTCGTTTTGCGCAATAAAAGGAATGACTTTGAAACGTATTATGCCATTTTAAATCCGTCTTTACCATTCCAATGCAACTTTTACCTAATACTGATGACGCTTCTTAAAACATCCTCAGCCATCTTCGGTGTAGCTGCAGTGCTATGGCTGTGTAAGAAGTCTTACAAATACTTTAAAAATTATCAAAAGAAGAAGCAGGAGGAGATCGTACTGATGGTTGAGAAAATCATTGACATTTTACAGTCACGTGCCTCAGAAGAAGCCGACAATTTCCTTGTAATTAATCACATCAGGGACATGATTTTACCAATTGATAATAGAAAAAGTAAACAACGCGCAAAAAAATTAAAAACGTTATTTTACTAATATTGTGTGTTTATATTTAGAAATGGAGAAAACTTGGAAAAAAGCTGTTAATTTCATCAATGAAAACGAATCCAGAGTTCGCACAGAAGTTCAAGTCGTTAAAGGCGAACCATACGAAGTTTGGAGGTGGTTGGGAATCTTAAATACTAGGTAAGTCTTTTTTTAAATATGATTTTGAAGTTTATATTAATCGAATATAAAATAAAGCCCAGCGCGAAGCAAATCTTGGCAAGGACAAGCCTTTGAAACTCAAGAAGGATCTGTGAATAGTCTACCCTGTTCTCCAACCCCGTGTTTGAAAATCAGAGGAATGGTTGATGATGGAGACAGGAACTTGCACATGATTCGTGAGGCGGTTTTAGTGAAATGCGCAGAGCAGTGCAAAGTCCTACACTGCTCCGTCGATAGCATCGCTAAATGTGTTTACTTGAAGTGCGCAGAACAAGCCGATGCCGCTATTGCTTACAGAAACCTCCATGGCTGGTGGTAAGTGCATCATGTAGTTTCTTTAGTTCAGTAGGTACATCATGATTTTCTATATTCCTTTTCAGGTTTGCCAGTGAATTAGTAACGGTGAAATATATTCGTTTGGAACGTTACATGCAGAGATTCCCCGATTCTCCGGAGAGTGGACCACCATTTCTTACTGCGCAACCACCTTCAAATATGGTCTAAATAATTTCACTTTTGTATAAACAATATATCTATTTAAAAATGGTATTTAGACTCTCAAGAACTCGTCAGGAGTTTCAAAAAGAAAAATGCTGCATAATCTCAGTATTTTTTTCTTCTTCATCTTCAATATTTTATTATTAGTTTATTCTCTTTTCTTATTGCTTTAAACTATTCGTTAATTTAATTTAAAAGAGAAATATGTGTGTCCGTGTGTTAAATTGTTTAAGTTTATTTTTAATTATTTGATTCCAATTGGATTGTGAATATGTTTACGTTTATTATTAAGAGGATCTTCTTATTATTGTTTAATTAGGTTGGTAGATGATGTTGTATCGAGATGAAATATTCGCTTCACCGACAATTTATTAACAATTTGCTATTAAAAACAATTTTCTATCATTGTAGACCTTCTTGGAATTTCAACGTTTTATTACTCTCCATCTCTTCTTGCATTTCCAATGTGATTTTCTTGAACTTTGCTGCGAGTTCCTCATTCTTTTCCACGCCTGCATAAAGACAATAGAACGTTTATCCACATGCACAGTTACAGATATTCGTATCAAAACTTACCGTCGCCTTTGGCGTACATTTGACTGACATTGGCACAACTGAAAATGTTACCTAATTTACATCCCTCCAGTGCATATTGATGAGCTAATTTCATGTTTGGCTTTGACAAAAATTCACCATTTTCTTTGGCAGTTGCCTGAGTCCTTTTTCCCTTTGCAGTTTTTACACCAGAAATGTACATCCCAGACAAATAATAGCATGCATTGGCGTTCTTTCCTTCACAGCCTTTTTTGAGCAATTCCATGCCCTGCATCAAGTATATTTTCAAAATGAGTATCAAAACTGAAGCCAACTTACTTTTAAAATATCCATATTAATTCCTCTTTTCTCATTGTCTGTCACTAGCAACAATCCTTGGTTGAAACAAGCATCAGCCTCATTATTCTTACATCCAGTCTCCAAGTAATTGTAAGCTACTGGGAAATCTTCCTTGATTCCACCTTTCCCCAACAAACAGTATGTGCCATATTTCAAGCAACTTTTACCATACTTATAATCATCACAATTGGTTTTGTACACTTTGCCTGCTTTGTCATAATCCTTTTTTATAGATTCTAAGTAATCTCCAAGTAAATGGCACACTTAAAATAATTTAAATAAAGTTTAAATAAAAATTGCATTCAAATTAATGATACACTAGTTACCTTCAGGTTTCTTCTCACTGTAACATCCAAATCTATATTCAATTCCCAAGTTATTAATGAAATCCTTTACTTCAGATTCAGATTTAAAATCGTATCCAGCCATTTCAAGTAATTGCCTTTAATTTAAAAAAAATGATATTTTATAACAACATAACCTTATACGAAATATTGTGTAATGACAGCAGTAGGTCAACCTAGTAGTTCATTTTCTCATTACATTTTATGTAATCAATATACAAATGTTTGCGGTAGTTTCAAAATTATTTGTATTTAATAAAAATCATGATTGAAACCGATTGTGAATTTCAATATATTTAGTTGAAGAAAATATGATTTATGATAATGGGATTAATGCTAAAGAATTGGCAATACTTTTTAAGTTTTTATGAAATTTAATCTAATCCTGATTCCTTAAATATATTACATTCAACACATAAATAATTCCTCTCGATTTCTACACTAAACATAATGAAGAAACAGAGCAACAATGAAACAGAATTTTCAACAATTAAAAAATAATCATTAAAACATATGACAACAGTTAAGACATCAAGTGTAACACACATATTTTAAAAGTAGTTTAGTTTTTTTTTTGTTTGTTTACACATACATATAATTATAGGACATGGGACAGTTCGAATTCTACAAGACATGAACCCACAGAAAAATTGATTTACAATAAATAGAAAATATAAAAACAATGATAAAACGGAATGTTTCTACCTTATCTTCTCTTTTTTTTTGATATGTTTTTGGATTACATAAATATTTCATCTTTTGATTTAATTTTTCATTACCGTATTGTCTCGATATCAATTTATTGTTGGAATCATATCAAAACCAACATCGTTTTTGTACGTTAAGGCCGGCAAAATATCATTAAAAATTTAAATACAATACATTTAGCTTCCTACGAAAATAATGGGTTTATGAATGATAACATTGGAGAACGACAGATATATCTAGATTAAAAACACCCTGTAATTTTTCTTCTCATTTACAAAATGAAAACAGATAAAGAAAAGCTGCAGTTAAGTACCTAGTAATAATAATAAATTAGTATATAATGGTGTGTAAAAAGTAAACATTAATAAATGGTCCAAGTTCAGTATTATTCTATATATAGGAGACAGCTGGTAGAATAGATACTGCCTAAGGTAAAGAACATCGGCAGTTCCACGCAGACGGTTTTCTGTTCAGCATTTGAAGTGCCGTACACCAGTTTCCGCTTGGGCACGCGATCTGTAGTCATTACGAAGCGTGGCTTTTCCACACACTCGATTTCGAAACTATTTAACAATTCAGGACGTCATAAGTCAGGAAATCTGCAAACACAAAACTTATTAAGATTATGAACGTTGTTATTTGAACGAACAAATCGCACCTCGTCGGATCTTCGATGTAATCTTTTGGTCGCGTAAACAAATTCTTCGGAATATCATCGCGAAACTCGAACTCCTGGAAGGTAATCTTAGCCGTCACCGTTGGTAGGATTGGAATTTCGACTTTAACTGGGAATCCGGATGGCAATTTAGCTGCTATAAAATCCCTCAACTTCGAGAAATGTTTGAAAGGTGCAATTACTTCAAGCACGTTCAATAGCATTGCAACCGATAAGGGGAACTCCGGACTCTAAAATTTCACATCGTATCATTGAACAGTAAACAGAATATGTTACAAATCAAACCATAGCTATTGTAGCTTTAAATGATTTCGACGATTCTTTGTACACCAAATCTCGGCCTAATCGTGGATAAGAATTCAACTCGGATTGAATGTACTGCGGCCATGTAACACTTTTATCAGGTGGCGGATTTAAACTTGACCGTCTTACAGGCTAAAATATAATTTACTTTAATTATGTTCAGCGAGTTTCTGTGCAACAATTACCACTCCGTTTTGATCAAAATTTTGAATGTTTCCTCCTTTGGTAAAACTCTCCAGAAGTGCCTTATTTTTCTGCAGATCGTCCAACGATAAATGCTCGCGCCTTTTGCGACTTTCTAATACTAATCCGTGCACTGTGTACAGTTCACTTGCATACTGTCCAGCAACAACTTCCTAATAACAAACAATGATATCAACTAATCGATGCAAAACCAATATTAAGAAATACCGTCTTATCCTCTCTGAAAATCCAACCGCTCTGGGCTCGGATAAATGATATACTTTTGGTTGAAATTTGAGCTGCCAAAATATCAGTAGACATTAGCAAATCTACCTCATCTTCTATTTCCATTTCACTTTCCTAAAAACACAATTTCAAACGTATTTTATATTAACATTTCGTTTATATAAAATGCAATTTTTAATACTCTAATCCTTAAGAAAACTTATTGTCAAAATTATATATATAATAATTAGCACATCACTTGCTAATATAAAAAATATAATTCTAAATAATGAAAATTTCAACTTTAACCATTGCAATTCAATTACTATTTACAGCATAAAAGGAATAAATTAATTATAAGACGTAATCGCTCAACTTACACAATTCATTTATGAATTAGCAGTTGGGTTTTCATATTGAATAATCAATTTAAAAAATGCAATCATTCATAAAAAAGCATTTGTATATAAATTTAAAAGTTGCAATGCGATCGAAACTTAACATGTATATTTTAAATATAAATGAAATGTGCACAAAAACAATATAAAACGTACCTCGTATTTCACATTTTGATATACTTTTTGGCCATTATCAAGAACAGTGAGGCTTTGGTTGGGTGGAGCGTTTCCATTGAAAATGAACGAGATATCACCACGTTCCCATCGCATATCGGAGAAGTCGACAAGCGTCGTGTCCAGTCTTATATTCGCGCCGGACTTGTAAATTTTGCATATATCTGATGGCAATATTCTCGAAACTAAAGGAACTGTAACATTTAAAGTTAATATTGTCCAAATGAATATATAAAGGTTTACATATAGAGCACAATAATTTAATTTAAAAGTGTTTTAATGTTCGCTGTAACATTTGAAAAAATTTGCATGACTTTTTGTAGTATATGAGTCGTACAGAAGATTTAGACCAGTGACTCCCAAACTTATTTGACCTACCGCCCACTTTCCAGAAAAAATATTACTCGGCGTCCCCTGGATTTTCTTTTTTTTTTAAATTTCAATAGCAATTAAACAGAAATATATATATATATTCTACCGCCCCCTTGGATTTAGACAACCTATTTTATATATCCAAAGAAATGAACAATTTATCGCAATTATCAGTAATAATGTTACTATGAAGGATATTATATTAAGTAAGATTGTTATAGATCATTTGATGAATAAAGAAAACTTTTGATCATGCTCCATTTCTGTCAAATGGTTATAACAAAATATGTTAAAGTTGTGAAAACAATATGCGGTATCATATTTAAAGAAACAAAAACGGTGCAGCAACGTAAACGCATGCAAAGGTGCATAATTCAATACAGTAAACGCTTCAATACAGTAAAGTATTGAGGTTTTACTGTACAACTGTTTAATTATTGGGCTCTATATAATCATAGTCAGCCTGTGTATAATTTAAATACCCCATGATTGAAAATCCCATTTCAATTCCATGTAAAAATCATTGATCTTATTCAGTGCATGAACTAGGTTTGGCCTTCTCTCTTCCATTTGCTCCCTGCTCTGCTGCCTGAATTTTCTGACCAAGGAGGAAACTATAAAAAACAGTAAAGAATAAATTGCCTGATCTTTGGATTGAGCTGATAAGCTTACTTGTAGGCCTATTTCCATAGCTAATAGCTTCTGCCAAGACTGTCCAACCCAGTCCATTTTTAACTTTAACTGGAGCATCGTGTTTCAACAACAGTTGCACACATTCTAAAATAAACAAAGCATAAATTCAGCAAATATGTTTCAAGCATATCCTGGCGGGTGGAGCAAACCTTTCCTTCCGAGCATGACAGCAAGATGCAGCGCCGTATTGCCTATAAACAGAGATGTTAACTGTCATTTTAAACCATGCAAACAAAAACAATGATAGAAGGCGGTCCACGGACATAACCTGGATCCAAATAATTCCGAGTTTATGGGCCGTGCGCTACATGCGATATTTATAGCAAATTGCTCACCGTGTTTGTCCTTCTCTGCGACATCGTGAATACGTAACAATCTGGACAGAGTTTTTAAATCGTTGTCGAAAACGGATCGGTGCAACGGGTACCTGTCATTCTGATCCGCCATATTTGATACCGAAGCCCGCGCTTGCGTCCACAACTCACATCTACTCACCACCACATCCTTCACCAATTTTGACAATACCAAAATACTTTAACACCTCCGCTCATTTGGTTGCCTAACCAACTAAAAACATTTAGTTGCGATCTTGGCGAAAAAAACGCAAACTTTACAGCGATTTGCATAACTTGATGTTGCTAAATTGCACGATAATAGTTTATCTCAGAATTATGTGAAACTAAAGTGCGCACCCATCGGCAACGTTGTCAAACAAACGTCAAATGGTTTAACAAGTTGCACGAAGCAACGCAAACACATTGGAAAGTCCGACTACTTCCATAGCTCTTATATATTATTATTTGATTGACTGTTTACCAAGTGAAATGATTTGAGTTTGGACTTCATTTGCGGCGCAAATTTAGTTTTTCTTTTAAATTTTTATGCAAGAAAAACTATCCGAAATGGTGAGTCTTTGAACAAAAACGCCCCCATTCAATAAAATATCGTCACAGTATAAACAATTTGGTGAAAGTCTTACAAAAAAAAAAATCGAACCTTTGAGGTTATGGTAAGTGTCAAAATAGGTGTAAATATTTTGTTAACACATTATCCATTATTAATATCACAATGTAAATTTTCTTGCAGATGGATAAATATACAGTTGATTTAGATAAGGTTTTAAATGATTTTGAGTACAGTGAGTTAACAGCTGACAGTCAGGTTACAACTCCTAGTGTTTCAGTTGAGAGCCGAAAACATATTGGGCCAACCAAACATTCAATGAATAATGTTTTCAGTAGTTTAAATGAATATTTAAACACTGGAAAGTTTGACACAGCTGAAGCCAAACAGGATCGATACCAAACATCAAGCATTCATCAGACTACAAAAGCTTCATCAGGAAATGATGAGCATTATACCAATTGGAAGCAGATTGCTAATGAATCTACAGCAGCATGTCAAAATGAGAGTGTGGTAAAATCAGAGCAAAATTTTAAAGAAGTATTGGTTGAACCTACTGTAGCAGAAAGTGTAGTAAAATGTGATGAAGTTAAGTCTGAAGATTGTAAGAATAAGTCTGATGGAAGTTTTGTTGATTTGGATGTAAAGAGTTGTATAAAGAGTGAAGAATCCGAAAATGCCTCAACACTTAATTTAGTTCAGATTTGTGATAACAAGAACATAATAGAAACAAGTGAAATTCAATCTGATAATGAAATCTCTGGATGTAAACCAGATTTTGATGTAATAAGTAAACCACATAATGTGATTAACAATTATATGGAAGATTATTGCTTAATTAATGAAGTAAATACTGTTGATGAGCAACAGGCACAGAAAGATGAGTTGGAAGAAGATAATATAGATAAACCAGTGTTAAATGATTTGAAGTCTACAGATGTTGTGGATACTGCAATTGATGAGTCATATGAGGTTGAAATTATACATGATAGTGATCTTAGCAAGGATAGTCAATTAAGTGATAATAATTGTAACGCAAATACTGAAATCGTCGATGATAATAATATAATACAAGATAGTGACGTCAGCATAAAAGAAGCAGAGATACCGTTAAAAGAACAAGAAACTGCTGATTCTGAAAGTATTCCTAATGATTTAGCATTACATAATGAGGTTGTTGAGGATATTAATAATCAAGAAGAGTTGAACATACAAGAATGTACTGAATGTGTAGACAATACTAATAATAATAATCCAGTATGTTTCAATAATTCTCTGGATATCGACGACGAAGAACTTCAAAATTATCTAGATAAAATTGAAGAAGAGTTCGGCCAGGAAAACGTTAAAACAGAGGAAGTGGTGAATACCGCAGAGCCCGAACAAGTTCCGGAAACCGCGAAGGAACCTAATATATCAGAGGAGGGAAACGCGAATAGGCCAAATAGTTTGGATATTGAAAAACGGGAGATCAATCTTATTGGAAACCCAGGGTCAACACCATATAACAATCTATACGTGTCCAAGGAAATTTCTGAAGATTATGATGAATCCACTACCTCCTCATCTGTATCTCCAGCATTCTCAGATGCGTCAACTGGTTCTGTCAGGTCCACAGATACAACTACTGATGAGGGTGTGAAGGATATTGCTGTTGCTGAAGGTGAGGAAGCTGCAGCGAAACCTACTGAAGAAGAATCTCGAGCTGCTGATCATATGGACGACATTTACATTGATATAGATAAAATCAATAATATGATAAATCCAACAGAAGGCGAAGCAAGCGCGAGCGCTGCTTCAACGTCTGAAACTCAAGAACTTGAAAATCCAGGTATTTCTCAAATTTAGTATGAAAGTAATTTTGATAGTTACAGTTAATTATTTTTAGACGCTTGGCTAGGAAAGCGGGCTCCGGTATGGGTTCCAGATGATTTAGCTCTCCACTGCCTTCACTGTAATATGAAGTTTACTGTTATCAAGAGACGGCATCATTGCCGAGCTTGCGGATTTGTACAATTTATAACATTAACAATAATGGATAAAAATAATGACAATGTACATTTTAGGTTCTGTGCTCCAAATGCTGCAATTCTAAGCACCGCTTGGAATATTTGGATATGGAAGCTAGAGTTTGCACTCGATGCTATGATATTCTATCTAAATTACAAAATGAGACAACAATCAACGACGTGAACAGTGATAATAGTACACGGAATAATAAGCCCAATCCTAATAACCCAATGGAATATTGTTCTGTTGTACCACCTTTACAACAAATTGCTGCAGGTGGCGGAGATGCCAATCCCCCATCTGTGATGGTACCTGTTGGCGTTTTGAAGAGGAAGGGTAATTTATACATATATAAATATATGTTGGATTTTTCTGTATTGCTATGTTTTAGGCTCAAACAAAGCTAAACATAATAAAAGTGTAATGTTTTGCGACGGAATTAAACCTGGTAGCGACTTAACTAATTTGGATAATGACTTCAATTATAACGGACTTGAATCGAAGCCGCAACAGGCCTCTTCCTCAAAGAAACCGCAATCGATTGTTTTGCCCAAAGCTAATAGGAATGTACCGGCTCTTGAGCCTAAGAGCAACAGTTTTATTGCGGAGAATGAGAGCTGCTTACCTCCAACAGTGACTACATTTAAATCAGGTATTTATCAGTATACGAAGTTTTTGGAAATTGTATTAAGTTTTATTTTTAATAATTCAGATATATCTTATACGGAATGCGCCAACAACGTGAACGTTGTTGAAATGTTAAAGAATGAGACTTTAACATTCGCTATTCAGCGAAATCTGCATGTGCATGTGCGACTTATATCGATGGATTGTTGCGTCAACAAACAGGCTTGGTGTTTCTCGACGGAGGGTTTGATCTCTGTAGGTCAAGACGAAATTGTTATTCTTTTAGAATACATGGAAGGAGAACGATCAGTACCTAAAGACGTTTTCTATCACTTGAATAACATTTACAATGATGCCGTTAAAGGTAAATGATCTCAAATTGAATTGAACGAGTTATTTAATTAACATCTTATGTCGTCGCTAGGTACTACAGTTGGGGAATTGGGATTAAGTATACATCCAACGACAAACTTTTTGGATTCAAAGAATCACGCGGGCTTCATATTTATACGTCCCACGTTTCAGTGTTTGCAGAATGTCATTATACCAAAAGAATCATATTTGATTGGTATTTTGGTGCATCGTTGGGAAACGCCCTGGGCTAAGAATTTCCCGCTCCGATTAGTTCTTAGATTAGGCGCCGAATACCGATATTATCCGAGCCCGATCATTTCCACTCGGCACAGAGACAGTGTCTTTGTGGAAATTGGACACACAATCATAAATTTACTTGCCGATTTTAGACAATTCACATATACGCTTCCAAGTATAAGAGGTCTGACCATTCACATGGAGGATAAGAACACAACGGTCACGATACCAGTGAATCGATACGATCAAGTTATGAAGAGCATTAGCAATTCTAGCGAGCACATTTTAGCTTTTGGTGGAAACTTCAGTTTGGAAGCTGATTCTCATTTAGTTTGCATACAAGACACTAACGGAAGCAATGAGAATAATTACACGACGCATGCAATCAATATACAGAATAAACCCAGGAAAGGTAATTTTGTTTTATTATTCTTTTTTAATTTCATGCCTGTAAATTATATAGCTCTTTCAGTTACTGGTACTAGTTTTATCGTGTTTAACGGAGCTTTGAAGTCGTCAAGTGGATTAACTGCCAAATCGAGTATAGTGGAAGATGGTCTGATGATACAAATACCACCTGAACACATGATTCAGGTTCGAGAAAATTTGAAGGAGATGAAAAATCACACCATTCACTGTGGATGCGTTAACGCCGATTCTGACGAATCTGTGAGCATCATTTGGGGAGACCGAGATACAAATTTCAATATTGGGTAAGTTATCTATTGGAGAGCGCATACATATCTAATTTATTACTCTCAAGGGTTAAGTCATCAATAGATGATCAATCTTTAGCCGGTGTCCCTTCAATACGAGTTCACAATGGTAAAAACTTTTCGCGCAACAGTGGCGAAAGAATGATCAGGTGGACTGAAGTATTCCTTCTACAGGTAAAAAAAAAATATATATGTATTCTAAACCAGTGCTTCTCAACCAAATCTTATTAAGAACTGGAAAATAACCATTTTTTTTATAAAAGAAAACTAACTTCGCGGTTGAGGAACGCTGCTCTAAATTATAGTTCACATTACACTTCGATCATACCAAGTTATTTTATTAAATTGATTTGTTTTTATTCAGAGCGGCGAGGAAAATGCACGGACCCAAGATCCAATCGACGTTTCGAAAATAGCAGAAAGTATTTCCAAAGCAACTTGTCTAGCTCTGGTTAAATATTTGAATCTATTAGCGACAAACAACTTTTATAAAATTGGTATTAGAACCACATTACACATTGATAATGTAAGTTTGACAATTTTTTTTAAATAAATGAGATATATTTATTTATGAATATTTCAGGTCAGTTACAGCGCAGGTAGCAATGGCATAAAACTGCCACCCATCTACATGAAGAGTTTAGATAATGAGCTGGTCCCAGTATTGCACAGAATTACTTCAAACAACCTAGGCGAAAGTGCAATTATCCTCGAGCTAGTTTTCCGTATTCTCAACGTATGATAATCATAGCAAAATATTATATAATTGACATTCAAATTATGCACTACTTACGTTTTTTTATTATTATTATTATTACTGTAATATTTATTTTATCTCTACGCATATTTTAATCACTTGAATTATACATATTGCTGTTATAAGGATTCTAAATAGAAGTCACAAAATTCAAACTATAATTTATGTTATGTAGTTTTAGTTGTTATATACGAATATTAGGTGTAAATATATAAATATAAAAGTACTAAAATTAATCAAAGATATTTTAAACTTTTATTTTGACATTTCATATAACCATACAGTATCAACGCCTTCTCCGACTGTTCTAATAGGTTTTAAATTTGGAAGCGGAAATCTACAGGCTATAATCTTGCAATCGCTCTTGCATTCAGCTATGAATTTCTTCTCCAAATCTGCCATCTAAAAATTAATTCATATTATGTTGAAACTCAACAACTAACCAATTTACGTACCATCTGCTCGACGCCAAATATGACTATATTATCGTAATCAGAGATGCCGTATTTCCACAGATTTTTTCTGAAGAAATTCGTGCGCGAACTTACGGATTTTCCCCTCTTAAAAGCGTCGATTCGCGAGTAAAGAACTAACCATGGATTTAACTCCACCCCGTGACCAATGATCTGCGGATGTCTGGTTGCTACTTCGAATACGATCCGCCCATCCCCTGATCCCAAATCCAAAAGTTTACCTTCCCGCTTACCGAGGGCGGTCAACACGTTCTTTATTTGAACATCGGTGGCGGGAATATATGGTAAGCAGAACTTGCGCAAAGCAGGACTTACAAATGGTGCGCAGATCAAACTTAATCCGATTGCAACGCCACCTGTAAATGTAAATAAATACAATTGCATAATTTAATTCGATTATTGAGATTGATAATTACCGCTGATCCCAATTAATATTTTTCCTGTTGTAGTTAATTTCGTCGGACTTTTATTTGTGGAAACACAGTTAAGTTCATCTAACTCACTCATCTTCTTTAGGAACTTTTATAAATTTATAACCTCTATTTGGTGTAAATTTAACTACAAATATGAAGTAGGCACCAAATCTGAATTTTAGCTGTTCTAGATTTTACCAACAGGTGGAGCTGGTTATTCAAATTCAATTGTATTAACATTTATCGCAACAGTCATACTAAAAAAAAGTACACATAATCAAATAAATATTGATAAATCCAATCATTAAAAATTATGTAAAACAGTTACTGACCATAGGTTCTTCTGCTCAATATAGTTTTCATTCGATACTAATGATAATACAGTGGAACTTTGCTTAACAAGAAACAATTTATCTCATATACATTAATGTGAAATACGAGTTTACGCCTGACTCCATTTGTTTATATTACTTGCATGTAGGTCTTTTTATACTTTTTACATTTTTTATATCCGGTGACCATAAAAAATGAATATAATCAATATTAATATATTCACAGTCTAAATATGTCTTCTCCTCGACACTGGTTATGTGAAAATCCGCTTGTTAAGCGAATTACTCGTTTCTTCTAATAGATGATCTTTTTATAAGCAAACAATCACTTTATAAGTTAAAACCTATATTAATATATCTTTGTTGTATGCTATAATCTCAAAAAAAAACTGGTAATTCCATATTAGAAATTTTCTTCTCTATACATGTAGCGATAATAAGAAAAATCTTGTTACATAATACTAATAATAGTCAATATTAAAATAGTCCATTGACCTAGGTCGCATTAATATATGCAAAGACATATGTTTTAGAGTAGTATACTATTCTTGAATTACAAATAATATATGTCACGTATCTAGGAGCTATAACTATATACGTATTTATAATAGAAACACACAACTAAATTTCATAAAAATACGTGCGAAACGTAGCAATACATAATTAAAATAGATAGTTTAGTTAAAATACTATATACATAATTTTTTGTGTATAGTATTTGAAAATGAATATAAATATTTAACATTTGTTATAATTAAGATATGATTATAATTTTTTTTTATGGTTATTGTTTTATTGTTTAATCACTATATACATATTTTGGTATGAAGTTTTTGGAAAATAAAAATTATACATTTATTTATGGAATCCATTCGGCCTGCGGGCTGTCGAATTTGGCGTTCCTGTCGGATTGCTCCACACTTTTATCACTGTATTTGTGATAAATCTTCTTAGCACCACCTGCTACATATTCCACCCCATCTCCAATCTTATCTCCTGCCTTCCTAATAACACCGGCAATATTTTGAGCCGAGAAAGTCTCATCGTCGATGCCAATGTTGACTCCGGTTCCATTGATCGTCGGGCAATTCTTCTGCGAGATGATAGACAGATCGAACGGATCGATGTTGTAAGAAATCAATTTGGAGCGAATCTAAAAAAATAATCAAAAGCGGTTATACAATGGAGAAAATAAATAAGTCGAATAACAATGAACCTTATCGACGTATTGTTTATCCAAAGTGCGTTCTCTTGAAAGGATAGTCGCACTCTGACGATGGGCGAATCCCAGCTTTTGGCAAGTGAAGATTGCGGCGAAGTTTTTGTAGTCGGTCGCGAAAATCGTGTAAGATGCGGTACCTCCGACACCTTGAAACGATTACATTAAAAACGGTCAATTTGGTGAATGTTATATATACTTACTCAGTGGAAACTTTACAGTCATTTTAGCTGGGACGGCATCGTCGGGGACAGTTAATTTCCCTGTGTAATGGTACTCGTGATGCAGAGGGGTCAAACCCAATGCGAAATGCTGACTGACCTGCTCCAACTCGTAGACGTGGGGTTCGGTGGTCTTTGTAAAATTGTATGTGATGCAGCTACTACCTGTTGACGTTTTTTGGATAACGTGCCAAAGTCCCAACATCTAGGAAACGTAAGAGATACATGATTTATGTTGAAGTATTTCTAGATAATAAGTGCACTTACCCCTCGCATTTCGAAATCTCTTTGGGGCTCAACGATGGGGCAAACCCCAAGACTATAGCTGTGTGCATCCGATCCTTTGAGGATGCACAAAACGGCCAATGATACAGCACTGATCAACAACATGATTGCAATAGCTCGTAGTTGCTGGACAACTAACGGAAGAACAGAAGCGATGGCCGTTTATAATCTGCGACAGTAGAGCTTATTCTTAGAAGCCAGCAACAAGAGCTCAGTCGACCAGTCGAGAATGTCTCGTTTCCAAGGAAGCGAAGTGAATCACGGATCGCCTTGGGCAATTGGATTTATGCTAATCACTTAATCAAATTATGTGTAGACCTTAGACCCCCGCTCACAAGAAATATGACTCAGCGATACAAATTGTTTTTTGAATGTTTACTACATTCTGTTTATTAAAATGTAACCTGACTAATGTGCTCTCACTTACCCATACAAAACGTAAAAAAAGCATTGAATATCATGCGTAGTAAAATATCCGAACGTTCGAAATCCCGAGTGTATCGAAATCCCGAATATATCGAAATCCCGACTACCATAATCCCGACAATCGAAATCCCGACAGTGTCTTTTATTATTATAATTTCTACAATAACATTTTATATTATTCTACTATATTTTTTTAGGTACGACGGATACTGAAAAAAATATTTTTAAGACTTAGGTCGATGGCTCTTTTGCCCAATTATTAATTGTTGTTATTTATTCTTAATAACAATAAATAATATTAATTATTATTGTATATTTTTTCGTTGTCTTATTCATTATAAAACTTAAGAATAAGAAATATTGTATAATAAAATTAAGTTTTAGATTGTCGGGATTATGGTAGTCGGGATTTTGACATAGTCGGGATTTCGAACGTCGAGATTTCGATACACTCGGTATTTCGAACGTCGGGATTTCGGTTGTTGGGCTTGCGATTGCCACCGGCCAAAAGATTTAGTTGACTTTTTTCTATTAGCTCAAATTCCTTCACTTGAATATGATGACTTTAAAACTAATTGCAGGATAGAAACAATTTCTATATAAAACTAATTTCCATTACAGACATTATTCTACTTACTCATTTAATATATATCAACTTATCGTTTTTTCGCATCATCAATTTATCAATATTATTTGTTATATATTCTACCAGAACCAAACATAATTATAAGCATTCTGCTTTGTTTGTTTAATTTAATGTTGAATATTTATAAATAAAAATATTATTTTAATCGAAAGGGCAAATAACATTTTGTAAATAATTATTAAAAATAAATGTTACTTTATCAATAATTTATTTTTATAATATCCAATTTTGGTATCAAAAAATTTACCTATCAAATTTAATATTTCGAAATTATATAAAATTTAATTTATTTTTCAATCTTATAGCAGGTACATAAAGCATGTTGCATGACCAATTACTAAGTATATACTAATGTTTTGTTGGAGAAGTACTTGTAAAGTACTCATTTTTGGAAAATTTTGACAATTACTTGTGTCAACTGTGAAAACTTAAAAATAGCATACATTTAGTGGTTTGCCGAGTAATACGCGCATTTTAGAATGTCAATTGTTAAATACTTTGTAATTGCAATCATACTGCTTTAATTTGAATTAAATTACTTATTTTTTATGTCATGTAATACATATTGGTACTTTAATGTAATCTTTATATTGTATACGAAAATGATTTGTTTTGCAATTGAAAGCACTAAGTACAAACATACATTCAACTAATGTTTGTCACTTATGTTTGTTTGTTTTATGTTGAAGAGAAACATTGTATAGCAGAATACCATGAAATAAGTTTATTAAATAATATTGTTACTAAATATATAAATGAAAATTGATTCGTTTTTGGAATCTAAATCACTATAATTCACTTATTATACGATTTAAGCTTAAAATTGCCTGACTTTATCAAAAAGTACCACATATTTTTTTCATTTATTTTTTTAAACTTTAACTATGTTCAGGTAACAAAGGGATAAAAACTAAATAATTTTATTATTAATTAAATATTATTTTATAATATGAAAAATCTAAATTGTAACATGCAAGAAAGCGATATTATTTTGTTTATTGTGTAATTATTTAATATATAATGTAAGCAAATGTTGCTGAAAAAATGTGGTAATTGCATTGGACGGCGAAGATGAACGAGTTAATGAACTTGTGCATTTGATGAATTTAAAGTTTACATTTATAGATTGAAGTTCTGTGTGCATGTACTTTCTTTACGTCGTATCGAGTTTCTCGAGGGGTAAAGCTCGAAGGTTTTTTTCTTATTTATTTCTTTCTTACATGAAACTGGAGAATTAATATATACATTACACACATTTGTCTCTTGTGTGCGAGTGTGTGGAGAAATTATGGAATGATAATAAAAAATAAATATATTAAAAGGCTTGTGGAGAGAGAGAATGCATTAAGGGTGGCGGCGCGTGGAAAAGAGAGCCGCGATGGACTAGTTGCTGCACACATGGCATTCGAGTATTTCGTTGCTTTTTTTTTTGTTATATTCTTCCTCCTCGTTGCTCCTCTTTTTCTTTCCCTTTTGGTCTGTTGCTAGGAATATACATTTCTTTCCTTTTCTCTCCCACTGAACGTGATTACGATTAACGTGCACGTAAATGTGTGTTCGCGCTTCGTACGCCACCCTTAATGCGCGTAAAGTAAATATTTAGGGGGTGAACGACACTGGGAAACCAAACACTATGACGACCTTCTTCCTTCTTCAAACGTAAATGTTGATCAATCCATCAATCAAGAAGGATTCACCTCGGTTGCTGGCTGCTATAACAACTACCTCCATATACTAAAAACAAAAGCGACGCGTGAAGTGGCGGGAAAACGAGACTGAAAACGGCAAATGATTAACGTATTAATTTATTGCAGGATTCGTCGAAGCGGTGAGGATTTAATGACAGTAGCCGATGGACCTGACGACAGAGCGACAGAACCGAACAGATGTCCGAGGAAGAACCAAAGGGAATGTCAATTAATTTCTTCGTCTGACGTTTCATCCCTTTCGATGATCGCCTCGGTGCAGAGCGAGCCGTCCTCCTCGGAGAAGACGAAAAAATTATATTATATTTCTGGAAAAATATGAGCCTGTCCTCCAATTTTTTTTTCTCCTCCTCAGCCGTAATTTTAAACACATGGTAAAATCATCAACCGTGTCGAGGGATGATCCATCCACGTTTTAGGCGCCAAAATTTCTAATTCCAATCGAATAATCCGCAAACGATTACGAAACAAAAAGAATACAAGATATACGAAAAAAGACAAGATAACAATCATTACAAGCTTATTACAAAAAAGGTTATCTTAATTTCGCAAATAACTTATAACTTGAAATCGGAGTAAGCCTCTTCCCGCCCAAAATATATATATATACACACACGCAAAGAGCGAGAAAGACGCAGCAACTTGTGGCTCGTAATATAACAGAGACGAAACTAATAAATGTCCCACCCCATGTGTCATCGACATATCAATTTGAAATGTGTTGGTCTATAACTATATATATACATATTTTTTGTCGCTTGTTTTTTTTCGTTTCATCTATCTCTTTCTCCTCTTTTTAAAGAGCATCGCTTCTGGTTTAACATTTTCTCCTCCACCCAACGATCCTCTACACTTTAGCCCACATGGTGACAACCGTAGCAACAGAAATATATAATTCATATAAAATTAATACACTTTGAAAATGGATTCGGGCGAAAGGAGAATAAGAGCGAGGGGTCACGTTTCCAGTTTTGTTGTTTTTTTTCCTCTTCTTCTTATTCTTCGGTCTCCTCTTAAGTCATCTCTTAAATTACCAAAAGAGAACAAAAAAAACACATATGGATCGGGAATGGACCTGCAAGGATTTTAATTAATGGCAGACTTCTGATGACCCTTTAAAGTTACCAAACGAAAAAAAAATGAAACCACCAACGATCACGCTGTCTCCGAGATGAATAATGGTATTATTGGGAATGAAGAACTGCTTTTTTTTTTCTCTAAAAAACATTTAAGAAAAGTGATTGGTGAAAAGCGAAAACAATAAAATGTAAAATATGGAGATTGCACAAAAAAAATATTAGATTCATTAATTGTATATTATGATTCTTGTTCCAAAAATAAAAATTTTGTTAAGTTAAAATATAATATGACCATCAACAGGACATTGAAAGATTTACCAGGATTATACTAAAACTCGATTTGATAAGTTAAAATAACTTCCATTTCATTTAAAACTTAAATGTTCGAAAAAATCAGTTGTGTCCCCATTATAAATGGACTTTTTTTTATTCATTCTTAAAATAACGTTTCTCTTTTCTTAACCTGCCTGCTTATATACTTTTTATGTTGTATTAATTTCTCTTTGTATTGAGTTTATTATGTATTCGTAGACATATTTTTGTTTGATTGTAATTCATAACTATTTTTATTGATGAAAGAGCACCTGCAGATATATATGCAGATTTGTGACGATATTTCCCTAAAATTCGAAATTAAAACTTATATATAGATTCACTTTTATAATTATTATATATAATATATTTAATTTTGATGGTTTTAGTTCACCATTATTATTAACAGAGGTTTTGCTGGAACTTTAAGAATGAAAAAACCAGCAGCGATGTAAGCAAATAATTTTTGGACAGTTCTTTGAGCTACAGCAACTTCTCCGTAAACAGATTAGTTTATTGTAAAGTAAAAACACTTTTTTGAAAGAATCACTAAAATAGCTTAGATTACAATATTTTTAAATTTAGTTTTTAATACAAAACATTCATCTATCGGTTAAATCAGTGATTCTCAAAGTGTGGGTCGCGTAAAATATTTGGAGGTCGCAAACAATTAATGACAGATCAACCCTGGTTGCTTTTCTACATTGGGTATGTGTAAAAAAGCAACCAAAAGAAAAGCGAGTCGCAGAAACTTTTTTGTTCAAAAGGGGGTCAAAATGTTAGAGAATGTTTGTAAAAATATCTATCATGTAATATTATGGTGCATAATTATCAGAGGTTATTGTGGGAGATTTGTTTTGTTAATAAAAGTTACTGTTTTGTTTATTTTTTTAATAAAAAACACAACGAGCAAATGGGAAGCAGTTATTGAAGAAGATGCTTAATAACAATGAACAAACCCAATTTATATTGTTTACCTTTAAAACAGTTATGTTACAGTAACTTTATATTCAACTTTATACTTAACTATAGATTTTGCAAATTTATAAAAACGATTAATTTTAATATATCTATAATTAAAAACAGTTTTTCGTTTTATTTTTAACTTGCGCATTGAATAAAATTATTAACGTTTTATAAGACTTTAAGCAGTAAATTGTTCAAAGTGCATTTTATCAATTATGTCATATGTAATTATCATTTCAAATTATAGTAAAGAATTTTGATTATAATCAATCTAAAGCAATTTTGTTATAAACAATGTATTATTGTGTTTATGTCGTATTATTAAATTGACTTAAATATACTTGATTATGGAAAAATTACGAGGTCAGCTCATGTAAATTACAACTGAGAGAATGCATTAGAAGTTGCAAACAAGTTTAATCAGAAATGTTTCTATGATATATTAATTTATAAAATTGATATACATTTTATTTTAATTTTGAAATAGACTGTAAGTTTTATTTATATGTATATACATAGAAAATAACAAAATGTGTTTTTGAATGTGTTAAAAGAAACTTTGTAACGGTTGCAATGAACTTGCGCTGTCCAAACTGAGTAAATCACATCCACCGAGATAAAATGTATTTATAGGTTGCACAACTTTAATGTTTCTACTGCAAAGAATATAATTACACCGCAATCATAAGAGAGAAGAAACCAAGGTCAAACTCAAGACTGCACATTTGCAAAACGTCGAAGAAATGTAACAGATGAATGAAATCGATAGTTTTCGATTTCGAGATCCTCGATCCATTGAGTCTTAAACCGAAAGTGTGCTGCACATAAAAAAAAGCCCCCGATGCAAGTGAATCTTTGGTCATTTTCTAAGAATTACATAAAAGCATGTGCTCTCGATGCCTTTTAATTTAAAGCCCTTTTTTATACGCACGCACATATACGGAGCATTCGAAACACGTGTTCGAAGCGAGCCAAGTTTTTTCAAAACACAGGCGACCGAGTGGTGGAAACGAAGAAGAAGAAGTAGAAAAAAACAACAAGAAAAGAGAAAGATGAAGACTAAAACACTATATTATAATTTATATTTATATCTAACAATAGCGGGGGACATTTCGAGACTAATTATAGCGCGCACCATATAACTTGTGTATACATGCATAAGGGAAAAAATGATCTGTCGTGTGTTTCTGTGGTATTTATAAAACCCATCGCTAGAAAAAAATCAGAGAGAAAAAAAGAAGAGATATGATGAAATGGAGGAAACAAAGAAGAAATGCAGACAATAAGAAGAAGAAGAAAAGCACGTGCATGAAAAATTCCGGTAGAAGATTTGGAAGAATTTGATCCAAAAATATGATATTGCACTAATTAAAATTAAATATAGAAATTGATTTATTATGATAATTAACAATAGTTTTGTACAAAAATTAATTTAACATTAGTTCGTTTCTTAAAATATATTTTAAAATTAATTCATTATTCATTAGAAATATTGATAAAATTGTTATTTTCACTGAAATAAGCAAAGTGACCAACTATGTACAAAAGGAGTACGGAATTTGGTATCTAGTAGCCATGTTGTCAGTCTTTCGTTCGTTCTTTTCGTTCAGATATTTACCCTTTCAAACAGATTTATTTCATCAATAACAGCATATTTAATAAACAAATACAACTATAGAAGAAACAACATCTTTCCATTCTATTTTGCACTATAAAATAAACCAATATAATTCAGTAAAGTTGGCTGCATCCTTCAAAAAATGTTAGTCTATTATTTCAAACTGGAGGAACGAACCTATCATAAAATCTCGCTTTAATATTATTAAGGTAGGATTTGTTTATTACCTTGTCAATTGAAATTTTGACCAATGAATATTTTAAACAAATAAATGTTATCTCTCTGAAAGACTATAAAACTAAATTTCAATTTATGTAGTTTTCTAAAAAAAAAATACCATCGTCTGTATGAAGTTTCCTGATTTATTGTAATAGTTTTAATTTCTTGAGTAAAAATCAGATATTTATTGTTACGTCCAGATTTCAATTCTTTTGAGTAAAGACAGACAGATTTAATTCCATATCAATTATTTTGATCAAATTCATATCTAACCATGTCAAATTTTCTTTGTTTAAATACATGATAGTTATTCTATCACATACTACTGTACAGTAATTTGAATTAATGATTTCATTATTCATCATCTATTACATATTTTTTAAAACAAATACCGCCGTATATAAAAAACTGTTTATATTTATGAAATTTTTTTTTAAGCAATTGCCAAGTTTGCGCATGTATTATTATTTTCTTTATTGCCCGAATAACCATATTTTTCTTGTTTCTTTCAAACTCTCAAAAAGAAACATGAATCTAGTACAGTGGAACCTCGCATAACGAGAATTTCGCTTAACGAGTAAAATTAATTGCAAGGAAAATAACTCGCTTAACGAGCGACGTTTCGCATAACGAGCGACGATTAGAAGAAAAGTCCCGGATTGCACGCCTGCTACATCATTTTTAAATTTGTGTACACATATTATTTGTATTTTTGAATATGTTTCACTATCCAAAATCCGGAAATTTTGGAACGGATTAAACTCGTTAAGCGAGGTTCCACTGTATTAGCATCTGTAAATATACACTTTATCTTTTATAGGAAATTAGTTTTATTTTGTATTGTTCTAATAGCCGATGTTGAGGTTATTTCTTAGTCAATGTATATAACTTATTTAATATACAGTAGCTTTAAACAAGCCAATGTAAATATCTTCAACTGAATTCCACTTTAAATTTATTGAATTTAATCAACTAAGGTTTATAGAATCATTTTACATTTAGAGGGCAATTATTTGATATCTAGTTTTTTTAAAATTATAATAGTAAATCTAAAGATTTTATAGTATTTCATTACATATGGAATATGCAACGAATTATCAAAAATATCCAAACAATCATCAACTATAAATATATTTTCAATGATTTATAAAGAATGTATAATATTATTTTAATGTGAATAATCTGATAGAGTAATACTTTTTTATGTAATGTGTGTGTGTTTTTTTTATATAAATATAAATGTTGTGTCAAAATGTCGTTGAAGACTGCAACCAATTAGCTATTCATTTGCATGCCACTTTAACCTGCCTTCTTCTCTCCTTTTTTTTCTCACTCACTCCCCCAATTAGTATATATAGTTCGTTATCTTAAGCGTGCCTCGAACGGAGCCGATTAGTCTCGAAGCATCTTAACTCCAGAATCTTTTCCTGAAGCATCTTTGATCGCAACACTTCAGTAGCAGTTGAATTTAAGCCCTTGATAGGCGCACATTAGCGGTATCTTCATATCGCAATCCCCCAAGAACAACAAAAAGACTGAAGTTTAACATCGAGTAGTGCAAGATAACATTCTCATTTGGATATAATCCAGTTCGATTCTATTTGTTAATGGTAAGTAGAGTAGATTGTCGAATTGTCAAAAGATTCGCGTTTTCTTAAAATTCAGTTGCTTATAGAAAATTACGGAATGCCGGAGACTAGTCAGATCAAGCCCGAGGGGCAAACGGATTTGAACCTGGAGCCGGGATGGGATTTTGGTATTTCGCAGTTGACGGACACTCAGAGGGAATTGATGGAGAAATTCAATTTCGCGTTTTACGATGCTCAGGGAAGCAACGTAAAAACTGCGGCTGATGATATTTTGGACACCTTCGACGAAGCATATTTCTCCAACATCGATAAATACGATGAACCTCAGGCTCAGCAGATGAGCGAAGATGGAAATTACTTATTGGATTACCTTCTGGCCAAGACCGACGAGGGTTTCTCTGAACTCGTCACGCCGAGCAGTGATTGCACTTCAACCTTCGATTACGACGAATTTTCTGAAAACTTCGAGCAGTTCAATCAGCCCTGCAGTTACACGAATCTTAACGACACGTGCTCCGAGGAACTGGGCACCTTCTACGTAGCTCCACCGCCTTTCGACGCACCTTACGAAGAAACCTCCAACAATTTTACAAGATTGCCTCCGGTGAATACCATCAAAAATAACGTCGACTTCACGGACTTTCTACGCAACCAAGACCCAAATTCTCTGAAACCAATGAAAAATCAGGACAACAAAGGGACTTTTGGCCACCTCGTGATCTCGCCCTATTCGGACTACTTCGACGAGGAAGCCGAGGATAACCAGTTGATCTTGACACAAAGTGAATCCTTGTTATACGATGATCCGATGCTTAACTCTGGCTCGAAGAGGCAGAGGAAGCACACGGCGAGTTCGGACACGAGCACGGAATACGAGGATACCTTCATGCCGATGAATTTGCAGTGCAAATGGGAAAATTGCTACGAAATATATGATTCTCAAAGCAGCCTCGTCAGGCACATAGAGAAAACGCACGTGGAATTGAAGCGCGGAGATGAGTTCACTTGCTATTGGTTGAATTGCCCGAGAAAGAACAAGCCTTTCAACGCGCGCTACAAGCTCTTGATCCACATGCGAGTACACAGCGGGGAAAAGCCAAATAAATGTCCTGTAAGTAAACAAAACGACCAAAATCAATAGACAACCATTTATTAAAATAATTTATTATGCAGTTCGAAGGTTGCAATAAAGCATTTTCGCGTCTGGAAAATTTGAAGATCCACCAGCGGAGTCATACGGGAGAGAGACCGTACCTATGCCAATTCCCCAATTGCACGAAGAGTTTTTCAAACAGCTCGGATCGAGCTAAACACCAAAGGACTCATTACGACACGGTAATTATCACACACTTAAAATATATCATTAAATCACTAATTTGTTTTTTTTTATCAGAAACCTTACGCTTGTCAAATTTATGGATGCGCTAAGAAATACACGGATCCGAGCAGTCTCAGAAAACACGTGAAAAATCACAGCGTAGAAGAACAGCAACAGCTAAAGAACAAAAGCATCGAAACAATAAAGCGCGAAGAAAACACAACTTTCCAACAGAAGAAGTTTCCAAACATCATAAGGCAACGACCAGTGACGACGCAAGTGAAGCAGATCTACACGAATCTGGATCACAGCTATTCGCACACTTCATCAAGCTTTAGTGTTAAGCAAGATCTCAAAAACAGGCTTTCCGAGAAGATCCACAAGAACTCAAACTTATACTCCAATTAACGCTGGAAACAATGCCAATATTTAATACACACGCTGTACATAATTCTTGTAAATAGCATAACATATATTTTTATAACATTTTTTTTTATCATTAAAAGGACAATATTTATTATAATTGTATATTATTACTTATCAAAATCCTTTTATCCGATGAAAACAACTCCTTTATTAAATAAAATAATAACTATAATTATTGCAACAATAAAAGTGTAAAATAAAAATCCTAAATCTTTCCGACAATCTTAAACTTACTTATTTCGATTGCATAAACTTATTTTGTAATATAAATGTGACGTCAATATCAAAGTTGCTAGCTAAAACATAATAATTTCATAATTTTTGGGTAATTTTGTAATTATAACAAATACCGAGTTAAACGATTCTATAATATAAAGAATTCACACTTGTATGGCCTTCTAAGTATGTTATAAATAGCAAATCCGTTACATAAAATATGGTTAAATGTTATTTTGAATCTATATCAACATCATTTTCAATATAAATTTATAATTAACTTCAAATTAGTTTGTTATTTAATTGTTATTATACTCGCTTCGTAAAATAAAATAGAAAACTTCAAATAGGCTTTTGGCACCTGTGACATTATATTACGTGTATCATTGATATAGGCAACCTATGTAGCATATGAAAAATTATCGATTTTCTTATCATACATATTATCTTATCATTTAATTAACTTTTTAAAAACATAATAAAATAAGAATTTGGCACATAAATTACAAAAATGATAATTTTATATTTCAAGTAACAATTATGGTATTAGACTTTGATATCAAATGAGACTAACTTCAGTTTTCTAGTTTGTTTATTTCCAATTTAAAACGTTCTTAAATAGTCCCATTATTTAATAACGCTTTTTTATATTATTTCGTTAAAATGGCAAGTGGTTTGGACATTTTTGTAAATCGTATCCTTTACTTGTAACATTTTACAATATCCTATAAGATTGCCACTTGTACATGAATGGTACAAATTTTGCCATCATTATATTTAGGTTATGTTCTGATTGGATTCCTTAAAAAAAATATGTTTCCTAATTGGAATTCTATTATATTTTTTGAATTAAAATGAATCATAATTTAATTGCTTATTGTTACATGCCGATTTTCATGAAAATGTTATTAATATCAAATACTTGCAAATTGTTTTTTTCCTTATAGATAATATAGATACTGTGTCCATTATCACTACAGATGGGAGAAATTTCATTGTAAGTTTTTTTTTGCAGCAAACTTTGAATGTTTTTTTTAATTTGTTTGTTTTCAGGGTACCCTAAAAGGTTTTGATCAAACTATAAATTTGATATTAGATGAATCTCATGAGAGGGTATATTCAAGCACCACAGGTATTGAGCAGGTGATGCTAGGTCTCCATATTATCCGTGGTGATAATGTGTAAGTTCATTTGCCTATTGAGAAGAACAAATTAAACAATTCTATTTTGTAGGGCAATTATTGGATTAATAGATGAAGAAATTGATAACAGATTGAATTTACCCAGCATAAAAGCTGAACCACTAAATGCCATAGTTCATTAAGTTAAGTTATTACATTATATGTAAGTTTCTTTAAATAAATTAATATTAAGAAATGGTTTCTGTGTTTTTTTTTGAGTAAGCTTTACAATTGTCATTTTTGGTGATGTCATTTTTATTTATTTGATTTTTAACATGAAGTGTATAGCGATTCTATTGTCCGCTCTTCTGGTTGGCGTTTCGTGTAATGGAACAGCTAAGCCTGCGGTTTTTGGAACGGTATTGTTCTCCCCTTCTGATATGAGCAGGGATTGTTGGAGTGCCGATAATGTTGCTCTATTGACCAGCAGAATGCTCATGAGGAACCTAATGCCACGCATGGATACCGTTAAGGTAGAGGATGATAGTTTTATATCAGATATCATCGAATATTTCAGACTACTCCTGGAAGTCATCAGAGGTGTAACTTCTGGTAAAAGTAAACACATCATGTTACTTGCGTTCACAGACACCTTAGGTATACACATATATTTTTATTTGCTCGAAAATAATAAATTAATCTTAGGTGGATACATGAGACATTTCATACTGCCAGTTTCAAAATACGCCTATTACGCAGGAAATGTTGAGTATGCAAGTATTGTAAAACTTTATCAATTATATGATGAGTTGAAAAATTTCTTGAGAACAAATGGCAATGGTTGGGCAAAACCTTCCAAACGATTAGGTACTCTTTTTCACAACATTTTCTCATTTAATAATTTAGATTTATAGGTAAACATATACACGCTAAACCAATATCATTGCAATCGCCAACTCCTTCAACGGATCCTTGTCAAGGACTAATATATTCCAAACGAGCAGGTAAGTACTAAATTATAAAACGATTCTGAATTACATGTTCTTTGTAGGTAGAACGGGACAAAAGACTAGAGCCTCGAAAGGGTGCTCGATGGAAGTACCTTTACCATTTTTTGACTCCAAAACACATCCATCCGCAATCGCCGTGCCATTCAAAACTTTTGGTCTGAGAAACTTGGAATCCCGAGTTTCAGCCTATATCCTAGTGAAGTTCTACGTAGCCGTGAGCAAATGCATGGCATCTCGACACGTCGACGAGCAGGACGTTCATAAATTCAACACTAACGTCTATGCCTTCATCATGGCCAAAGTTATGCCGCACCTTTGCGACGATAAATTCTATGCAGCTTTTGGTGGCGTTCTGAGAATTTTAGAGACCATAAAACAGGATGGTAAAAGTGTAAAAGCCATGGGTAATATCAACATAATGCCAGATACAGATGACCGAGAACCGTTTCCCGACATGGTGGACGAAGGGGATGCGTTGGGACCGCCGAAATATGATGTATATTTTACGAACTATAAGTTTCTATACTAACTGAATATACTTTTCTTTTTAGAAAAAATCCAAGAACAACTTGATTTTGATGGCGGCCCTAGCGACTATCATAATATGGTTCTGCTTGGGAGCCGCTTTCGTATGCTGTAGGATTCGAATATCGAAATTGAAAAAAGGTTTCAAATTAAGGTATGCGTCATGATGTCACGCTAATTCTATCAATCTACAGAGGATAAGGTGAAAGCTATCGGGCAATCCGAAGAGGGAGATGATGATGAAATGGCGAAGGGATCAGAAGATCAAATCTCGTGCAGAGATGAAACTTGCCCAGCATTCATGTCATCACGAAGTTCTACAAATGAGAATGCAAATTACGCACTGTAAGTTATTTTCCTTCAGTTTAAAAATAATTATATTACAAAGCATTCATACTAAGGATGAGCAATAAATTGCCCAGCGTTTCTACAAAATCCTCATCGAATACAAATACAACGGAAGGTGAATCCGACTCTAATAGCAAGATACCTGAATTGAGAGTACATAGGTTCATCAATCAAACTTCCAGTACAAACTTGTTTTATTTATTCAAACTATTTCAGCGTGCAGTATTATCCACCGTCCTTCGCATGCCACACGAGCATGACAGGAAAAATGAAGGTTGATTCTAGCACAGATGAATACACCTCCAGAGAGGAACCCAAGCGGCCTTTTGTATTTGGATACGATTTTCAGACATCATCCGAGGAGACGTCGCCAAGAGGTAATTCAAATAAGTTAGGATATTTTAATTGCTCAATTTACGCTATTAACAAACATCCAGTAATGAATAATTGAAACCAATTAAGTTGGTTTTTTCATATCCTTAATTTAAAAAAAAGTACTCTGCGGTTTTTAACTGTATTTAATTTCTCATAGTGCATTTCAAATATTTCTTTTAGAAACGACGGACGGAGAAAACGACTTGGGTGGGAACATGTCCAAATGAATATCTTATTTACCTATATTTCTACTAATAAATGTGCATTGCTTTGTTTTGAATTAATCGTGTTATTAAATGCGTTCCAATACCGTTAGGTAACAGTTTTCAAGGGAGAGCGAGAATGTGTGCATACAGTGTATGAGTTATTTGATTAGAACAATATGAATAAAAAAAAACCTTTAGAAAGTTGCATTTAATTATCGAAATTTGCAATTGCCGAGAAACTAATATACTGCAATAAAATTCACACAAAGAAAAAGAGAAAACAACACTCATATGATTTTTGGGTTAGTGTGAACGTGGCTATGTATTGTGATTGGTTTGAGTAACCAGCTTAGTTGCAACATTGGTCCTAATAGCTTTATAAATGTGATTTTAATTAACAGTTATATGATTGATGTTTTTCGATAAATCAGTGTGCAGTTATATGCCTTTTATGTTGATGATAATGTACATGGGTATCTAGTAAATTTACGTTGAGTTTAGATTCTATTTTGATCCAAATTGTAACTAACATTGACAGTTACAGCGTACGTATGGCAACAGTGCGTAAAAAAATTTGACCAGTCGCCATATTGAAAAATCTTTCATACAAGAAAATTTTGTAAGTAAATATATTTTTTGTTTAACATTGAATTCGATAATTTTATCATTAATTGGCTGGTGTAGTGCAAGTGCTGAGGATATTGTTTTACGTGTGTGGATGAGTGAAATATATTGGCCTGTTATTAATACAAATACCATTTTCATGACAAAAATCACTCTCTCCCCCTATTACATATAGTATATTGCTGGGAATATTGAGAGATAATTCCATTTGTTCTAAAGTCTTTGTTATATAAAAGGTAAATCTACAATTGGCATTTCGTTCGCGATAAACGGACTTTTCGTTAAAGGAAATCCCAAATCCGTCGGAAGTTATTTTTCAGTGCAAAAAAAATTCTTTCATATTTGGCAATATTTTGACAGATGTTTCATTATATTTTAATCACCCAGTTCTTGAACTTTACAGTCTAATTTCTCGCTGATTACATTTTTAAGGGATTCTCTCCTTGAGGTATTATCCACATACAATATTTCTGTTCTTGCCCACAATCAATGCTATCCTATTTTCTTCCATCAATGAATAGCAGTACACCAGATTTTGTAAAATTTCCTTTCACAAATCCAAGACATACTATTTAATTACATCTAACAACAAGTATATTCAGTTATTCTCTATCACTTTATTCTAATCAACCAGTTTTGTCTACACATATAACTAGTATTATTTACACAAGACCTGTAATATTTGTTTCTTATGACATCATTTGTTTTTTGTTTTTGTATACAGGTTTGGAAGAACAATTGCGAAGCAATACATAGTGTCTTTAGCAAATACAAAGCTTAATTTATCTGCCTAGTAGAGAAAAAAATATAGTTCAGAAACAAATATACTGGTAGGTGTTGTTTTGGTATCTGCCTATTTGTGTATTTGATCTGGGTTTTTACCATCCCGATCAAATCTCGTGCACATCAGTTACCTCAACTGGAGAAGGATAATAATTACCCTGTCAAAGATGTCATTATTAAATCAAAGTGGAGAGGAACAGGTGGAATGTCCTTTGTGTATGGAACCTTTGGAGGTCGATGACCTACACTTTTATCCTTGCACTTGTGGCTATCAGGTAAGTGTTTACCCATCACTTTATTATTAGTTACTATTTACTCATTCCAATAGATATGCCGGTTTTGCTGGCATAGGATACGTACAGATGAGAATGGGCTATGCCCAGCATGCCGCAAGGCATACTCGGAGAAGCCTGAATTCATTCCTTTGTCTAAAGAGCAGGTGGCCCAGCTAAAGGCGGATAAGCGGCAAAGAGATCAGCAGCGGAAGGCGAAGTTGACGGAAAGCCGAAAACATTTGGCCAGGTTTATTTATTGCAAGTGCAAGTTGACATACCTTATTGAAAATACGATTTCAGTGTGCGCGTTGTCCAGAGAAATCTGGTGTTTGTGGTAGGATTGCCTATGCGATTGGCGGATCCTGAAGTGTTGAAGCGATATGAGTATTTTGGCAAATTTGGTAAGATACACAAAGTTGTCATTAACCAGTCGACGGCTTATGCCGGGACGCAAGGACCCAGTGCAAGTAAGTTATTTGGTATTTAGTGTTTATTATGTAGAACGTATAAAGTATCTAATCGTGGGTATATATAAATGTTGTAGGTGCGTATGTGACGTATATGAAAAGTGACGACGCTCTTCGGGCCATCCAGAACGTAAATAATACTATTATAGATGGTAAAACAATAAAAACTAGTTTGGGTACCACGAAATATTGCTCTCACTTTATGAAAAATCAGCTATGTCCAAAGCCTGACTGTATGTATCTACATGACTTTGGTAATGTTCTTCATGGGATTGATTAAAAATGACATACTAATATTGATTTAAATGTTCAGGTGATCAGGAAGCAAGTTTTACTAAAGAGCAGATGCATGCTGGTAAGCATCAAGAGTATGAGAAAAAATTACATGATGCGCTGCTTAGCAAACTGGCGGCTGCACAAACAGTAGCGGCTGCGCCTCCAATGACAGTTGTAACACCAACTTCGAACATCACAACAATTTCAAGTTTACAAATGAGTAACAATACAAACGGTAGTTCTGCAGGAGGCGGCGGTGGAGAAACTCAACAACAAAAGGGCAAACTGAAAGAGCCGGCCGTTGTCTCCACGAACGGTAGTAATCAAAATAATAAGGATACGTGGCCGCAGCTTAATAACGATAGTAAGAAATCCGAAAAAAGTGATAAAGATAAATCAAATAAAGCCAGCAATAAGAAAACGAAATCTACGAACGGCGGCGGTGGCTGTGCTGCTGAAAAAACGAAGACGGAAAGTAAAAAAACAACAGTGCCACAACAGCCACCAACAACGCCACCTACACCTATTCCAACCATCGTCGCCATAGAAACTAAAGCTGAGCAGCAAAATACAGAGGAAGATGTTAAAGCAGAAGAAATTAAGTTCGAAGAGTTGCCACAATCGCCTCCAATTAAATTACCACCGACTCCAGTCACCATTCTTGACGATAATTCCAGTTTCTTTTCGCAGACCTCTTTTACAACAAAATTAGATTTGGTCGACACAGTTGCCGATGGTGAATCCAGGGGTCGCAGTCCTGCACCTGCAGTTCTCCATCAAAATACAGAACCTTTACTGGAGATTCACAATGACACTGATAGCTGGGATTTTGACTTTGGTTATGGCAAGCATTCAAATCATTTAGAAGAATTAGCCAAACAGAGAATTACCGTCAAAGGCATGTTTCAAGGATTGGACAATCCTTCTCCATCACAGTACACTAAGATGGTTGAACCAGTCTATACCGATACCGAAAACCTTTTAGAAACTTTAGCAAAGAATAGCGTCAATTATAATAATCATTATGCTAATGGACACAAAGAATCCAACCTGGAGTCGCATATGACAAAGTTCTTTACGGATTTTTGCAGGAACGGTGGCTATCAACAGCAGCAACAACAACAACAACAGCAACAACATCAACAACAACAGCATCAGCAACAACAACATCAGTTGAGCCAGAATCTGTTACATCAGCAACACCAACCACAACAACTCAATGGTGGATTCAATCATCAGACACCTTGGCAACCCTATTACATTGTGGAGGACAACCACCCATTGGCCTTACTGCAACAGCAGCGTCAAATCGAAGAGCAACTGATGAGCCTTACGTTGAACTCTAAGCAGCAGCAACAAACTCACCACCAGCAACATGGATACGGCCAAATAAACGGGGGCGGCTTCGACATGTCCAGCAGGTTCAATTTTGGTGCACCTGGAATGGGGGCGCCCAACAGTAATAACGCCTCGTCACAATTGTTCAGCGGAGGCATTAATTTGAATTCGTTCTCCTCGAACAAGAGTAACAATAGCAGACCTCTTCATGAAGATTACCATGAGCTTGACAATGGTTTCTTAGAAGCTCAGAAAGCACTGGAGGAATTAGTAGAGTCTGATAGTCACGTTCATAATACAGGTACGATTTGTATTTTTTTAATGATTAGCATGTTGATACTGCAAATGTATCGTGTAACATGCAAGCTCCTAAACTTTTTAAAATTATTCTGACTTCGTCGTGATATGTATTATATGGTATAATTCATTATTTTCAGGCCGCACTAATTCAATCGGAGCTGGACAAATGAATGGACTAGTACATAATCATATTGGAAATCATTTACCACCACCGCCACCTGGTTTTGTACAATCCAACACACATATGAACGCCTTTGGAAGCAAGATATTACCTTTCTTAACAATGAACAATCAACAACCACAGCAACAACAAATGAATAACACACAAAACAATTGGCCTTCAACTTTCAACAATCAGATGCAACAATCACACCAACAGCAACAACATAAAGGTAAACTAACTATACATATTTGTTCAATTTAATTAAACTGAAATTGAATTCGTGATCTGAAGGTATGGATTGGAAGGTGTTGGACCCAGCAATTTTATCCTCCAGAAGACATGTACCTCATATAGATCATTACACAAATGGACTTCAGTTGGGCGCAACGTCACAACCGCAACAGAATGGACCCACAACCACAGCCGCAACTCAGCAGCGCCAGCAATATGATTCATACCATCAGCATAACGGTTTCACCACACATAATGGCAGCAACAGCGCATCTAGTTCTTTAGGCTTCAGCCACTTGAACGGTGGCCAAAGTTTGAATTGGCTCGGAACTGAGCTTAACACACAAATTCCTACACCACCCGGTTTCAGAACTTCTGGACAAGCGGCCAAGCAACAGCAGGAATGTTAGGGAGATACTTTTTTAGTACGTTTCGATTTAAATTCAATTCATAGATTCAAACAAAATATACAAACAGAGAAAGAGGAGAATTTAAACAAAATAATAATAAATTTAAAAAAATCATGAATATTCAATAATTATATAAACACACGCATATACATATATATTTATATATTACGTAAATTTTATTTTAATTAATTTGGGTAAAATCTGTTCTACTCGTAAGTATTATCAAAACATTTATATTTTAAATTCGTCACTTATTAGTCACGGAAGACAGACAGTACTTACCCACCTTTATATGTGTATTTATCGAAACTATATAATATTATATCATAATCTTCTTTCTCCCGGGGGGTGCAAGGCATTCAAATTATTTTGAATTAATCTCTTCACGAGTACTTCTTTTAATTGATTCATTTCGTTTCATTTTATGATTATAAAACGTTGTTATATAAATGATTATATCCTACAGAAATGGGATATGGGACGATTGTGCTAGGACCGATCATTTTGTTTACAGTGTTAATTGCAAATATACATCATCACTGTTAAAATTCAAAAGGGATTGGTTCTTCGTAGGCCACGCGTACAGCGCTTATTATATTGTAATCGAGTGATTTACATGTGATTGGATAAGATGCGTTAAGTATCTATCCAAGATATTAAAACTGAGAGGCGGGAGAGTGGGTGGGCGAAAACGAATGGAACAAACTTATTACCACGCGCTTTTTAAATTAAAAAATATATAGTTTGTGTTAAATCGCTGTCGCCGCAGCAAATGAATTAATTAAAAATGAAAAGTGAGATATTAATAATTATGTGAAATCATCGGAGGGAAACATGTAATTAAATGAGGATGATTGAAAAGTTGATCTTGGTTGAATTATGAAGCTGAGGAAGTGAAAAAGGATAAAATTCGAAGCAAGTTGAAAAATAATAATTATGAAGAAAAAACATTTTATTTTCTATAACCTATTAACCAATCCTATCTACATACGTGAACCGATACATATAGTGTATTTGTTTTTTTTTTTATAGAATTACCCTGCTAAATTGAAATCTAGAATTTCGTCGCTTGTTAAGAATCTTACATCGCTTTGGGAATCGCTATGCCCTCGTCCATTCATTCGCCGATAGTTATAACGTCTATACAAAATGCTTGCTAGGACAACGACCAACGTAACGCAAATTGCAATTGCAACAAACCAAAATGTATTCATCGTCTTATGACTTTGCGCAATTGACTTCTTCGTTGTCTGCGCATTATTTAACGATGCCATTGTAATATTATCTATTTCGTTATCATTTGGTCTTGGAATGACCTCAATTGCATCGGACTCTTGCCGAGTCTTTTTGTCTATATCAAACTTTGGAGGTAGTGTGATGTTTCTTACTATCACTGTTGTGAATAAAATCGCAGCAGCAGTAGATCTATTTTTCGGAATTATTATAGTCTTCGGTGGTTTTGTAATTACCACTACCTTCTTTGTAGTTTGGGTAGTAATAATCAATGGTGCAGTAGGTTTAGTAACTGCAATTGTTGGTTTTGTTGTGGTAGGTTTGGTAGTTTGTTTAATCGTAGTCTGTGCTGTAGTGGTTACTATAGTAAGTGCAGGCGAGGTAGTAGATCCGTTTGTTGGAATTATATGATCAGAGTTGGTATTCGGTGGGTTTGAATGTAATCTACGTTCATCTACTTCAATGTCGCTGCTCACGTTTGATTCGGTTGACCAATATTCCTCGGTGCTTGTGTAATCGTCAGTAAAATAATTCCCTGTAACAAGCCGATTAAAAGATCTTAGAAATTTATTTCCAAAATAAAAATTAAAGCTTGAGGACACATTCGATTCGATTTTCTTTTAGGGAGCACAAATAAATTTAACGTCCTTCGGTGTAAAATTTAAAAAAGATGGATAGGTTTTTGTTTGGCACTTTTTCTTTTTCGGCTTTGACTTATCAGGATCATTAGGTTTACCGCAAGGTTCGTTCTTGGAAGGACAGATCGGAGTAGGTCGATCGCAGGGTTTGTTGGGCGGTGCCTTCTTTTCGATTGGTTGTCGAGGACATTTCTTCCTCTGAAGCCGAGTGACCGCCTCAAGAGTGTCATTAGTAAGAATTATCTGACGCAGTGCACCATACCCATGAACTTGCTATCAAAATCAATGGTTTCGGATTATTTCGTTGAAGCAAATATTCTAAAACTTACATGTAAAAACGCTGGAAATTTCTGTATCAAATGCATCCTTCCGAAAAAGCTACACAAAACTAGTGACTTTGACAGCGCGCGCTCGCTATGATGTAAAATATAATATAATAGTGTACTGACCTAAGATGCAGATTGCTATATAATCTGGACAGCAAGATTTGTTTGTATCGCAATCCACGGTGCAGTTGCACTTGTTCTGAGCGGAGTTTCTCGTTCCACATCTGTTGTTGCATGTTAAAGATTCGTAAACGGTCATATCTGTCCAATATGTTGACCTAAATAATTTTAAAGTCCAATATCAATCTTGTACAAACTACTACATTTTTATTTTAGCACTTACGTGTACGATTCAGTCGGATTGTCCAAATTACAGTTTTCAGTTATGGTAAAATCATCGATGGCCAAATCACTTAAATATGTTGATCCTCTTACAGCTTCTATGATTATCTGCGAGTCGCACATTAAATTTAAATTCATTTAAATCCCACACCATATTTACTTGAAAATCTTCATCAATTTCAGGAAATTGCAGAAAGGAACGTTGCCAGAGCGGTCCTTGGTTCGAAGACTTCAAAAAAATCGCGTCCTCTGGTTTGAGGATCCATGATACGTTCACCTTCTTCAAATAAACTCGCAGTTGTCCTGCAGAACTTCCCCACATGTGGTAATAGAATTCCAAGCAAGTGTTGTTAGTTTGCTTCGGGTACACCGGCGAAATCAAACGTGCCGTATCATTTTGCTTCCTTGAAGTTGCCTCGATATACATGTAATATCCTTAAATATCATACAATTAATAATTAGTAAGTTATTATATATGTGGAATTTACCCAATCCTTGCATATGTGGTGTGTGATCGCTTTTGGGGCCGGTAAAAACATGGCCCGTAGGCGTGCTCAAGTTACGTCGTGTCCAATCAAAATCATGATTAAGATCATGGCTCCACCCGCATAGGTCTTCCCTTTCGAAATCACATGTTAACGAAGCTTCCATGTCGCTAGCTACAATAAGTTCAATCTTTAATGCGATATTTTGCTAATTGTACTTATTTTTACCAATGCAACTGGGCTTGGGCGATGACCAACGATCATCAACGCAGTAAGATATGGATGGTCCTTCCAGTTTGTAGCCATGCGTGCAGATGAAATTCAGAACTGCATTACCGATTGTAGGATAAATAAAACCATTCGCTGGATTACTCGGTGTCTTGCACGTATTTCCTAATTAATATTATTGGTGATATATCCAAATCTACTCAGATTTATTGAATTAAACTTACGGACACACTTGGGAAGCTCTCCTTCCCATTTCCCTCGAACGCATTTTCTGTACCTTTCGCCGGCTAATTTATATCCCCTTTTACAGTAGTATTCCGCAAATCCAGTTTTTCTTTGATACACATATTCGCCGTTCTTCGGCGCTATTTTCGGGCAAGCTAAAATAAGAAATAATTTTTAAAAAAGTTTAATAAACTATATTATTGTTACCTACGGATTTTTCGAACACCTTCAGCGCAAGTGTGCAGGTATAAGGACACAAACGCAATGGTCAGAACATGCTTCATTTTTTAAATTTAGCGGCGCCAGATCTGCTAAGCAACTGAAAGCAATTTCTGTATTGCTGTAACTGATATTGAAAATATCACAGCTTCCGGCCGGAAATAGATAGGAGAAAAGCGTAGAAAGGAAATGCTATGGTTTGTATAGAATAAGCGATTAGTTGGTATATTTTTTTTATTAGTTTATGAATAATTAATATTATGATATTAAGATGCGGTCGTTCTTACCGCTAATATTATTTTTTTGAATTTAGGTGGGAAAAGCGCGCAGTTGCGCTCCCATTTTTGGAGGATGGCCGTGCGTCTTGTAAGAAACTTAAGCTTAGGCAAAGGCAGTCGAAGCCTAGTGGTGTATACGGGGCTGCCTGCTTTTATGTGTTTACTTTTACCTGGCTTAGTAAGAGCAGCAGGAAACTGAATTTACAAAAATACATGACTGGAGAGTGCAGTTCCACTAGAATACTGTGATATTGTGTTTGTGCCTGTGTATCAGATTTTATTTCTTTTATTTGTTTTTTTTTTCGATAATTTTCGAAGATTAAAAATGCCTGCATTTCACACGAAAACTATAGAATCCATCCTGGAGCCTGTGGCCCAGCAGGTGAGCTACCCTTAATTGAAGTTTTATAAACTGCAAGTCCTGAAAATAAATGAGAATAGACGACAAATCACATTAGCAATGACTCATATGAACTATATGAATCCTTTGCCAAATAAAATGTTGCTGATTTGCTCTATTTGTAATGCTTATTTTTAGAAGTGGGCGTCGTCCCATTTCTTTTCCCATTCAATATATTTCAAATAAATTTCACTGACATTTACCCATCCTCCCCCGCATTCGACTGATTTCCTTTTCCCCTCTCTCTCATCACGACTTATACTCATTCATTCGTTCGTTCATTCCGTTGCCCTTTTAAGACACATTCTTTCAAACAATCGCTTAATTGTTTGCAGCGTTGCCACGCCCCGCATTTAATCACGAACAAAAGGATTACATTAAATGATATATAATAATATATAACATAAATGTATGACGGAATGTAGATTATTTGAACATTTTCAAGAGGTTCTCTGTAGATATACTTTTAGGTCTCTCAATGGGCAAACCCATAGCTCGGTCCCAAATTAGCGATGCTAGTACTCCTAGTGCTCTGGAAACCGCGAAGAGTACAGTGTAGTAATTCATTTCCTTCAGACCGTAATATTGCAGCAGGACGCCGGAATGGGCATCTACATTGGGCCAAGGGTTTTGTACCTTCCCCAGCTCGGTCAAAATTGGAGGGACGACTTTGTACAGTCCGGAGACCACTTGGAAAAGTGGGTCATCTGGTAGATGTTTCTTGGCGAATTCGTACTGGCACACATATCGGGGATCCGTTTTACGCAGTACTGCATGTCCATATCCCGGTATAACTTGGCCCGACTTGAGGGTTTTCCAAATGAAGTCTTTGATCTGATCATCGTTTGGCGAGTCTCCCAACGCTTGTTTCATTTTCATTACCCATACGAGCACCTCTTGATTGGCCAGACCGTGAAGAGGCCCTGCGAGGCCGTTCATCCCGGCTGCGTAGGATAGGTATGGATCGCTCAGAGCTGATCCAACCAGATGAACCGTGTGGGCTGAGACGTTGCCACCTTCGTGGTCGCAATGTATCGTCAAATATAGTCTCATCAATTCGGTGAATTTGGGATTATCATACCCAAGCATTCGGGTAAAGTTTAAACTCCAATCCTTGTCGGCATCTATTGGAGCAACACTCTTTCCGCTTTTGTAGACGTTCTGGTATATTATCGCTGCGATTACCGGCAGCTTCGCTATCAGATCCATACTATCTTCGTACACGTATTCCCAGTATTTCGACTTGTGGACGCCGCTCATATAGGCCTTCACGAATTTGCTCTCGCTGTTGTGTGCTATAACTGCAGCGCTCAATTGCGACATCGGATGTACGGTGCTCGGCAAATTCTTGAGCAAGGTCATGACGTGAGGCGCCAATGCGGCCCTGCTCGCCCACTCCTTCGAGATGGCCTTGACTTGAGCATCGTTGGGTATATCTCCTGTTAGCAACAACCAGAACAGACCCTCGGGAAGTGGCTCTTCACCACCGCTTGCTTTCGGCAACTTCTTCTGGCAATCCGGGATTGTATGACCACGAAAACGAATTCCCTCCTCAGGATCCAATATTGATGTCTCGCATACCATCGCCACAATACCTCGCATACCTCCATATGCCTGATTTACGATCACATCGCACAGTTTCTCACCACCATGTTTCTTCCGAAAATTTTTTACAGTCTCTTGATGTATAGGAATTTTGGCAGCTAGAACATTTTTCAAGTCCGTCGATGCTTTCCTAATAATTGATCGCAAACATGGATTGATTTTGACAATCATTATATCTCTGTTTGACATGTAATAAATAAAAATAAGAACGTTGTTTTTATTATATTTTTTTATTATTTATATTTTTATTATATTTTATTATATTCATTAATTACTTCATTCATTTATTATTCGTAGTTAATAGAAATACATGATATAATAATTATATATAAAAAAATCTATTAGTAATAATATCGCAAATGTATACGTATTTCACACGTATTTGATAAATTGTTATCGTATAAAATAAAGGTATAGAATATTATTCTTTTCTGATCTGGCAACGTTTCTTCTTAATTAGTAGGCAGGCGACATTCGTTGATGTCGCCATAAATGGTACCGTTTGCTATGTACGTGCTACATAGTCACGAGTGGGCTAATAACACAAAAATAATGTTAATATATTCAGTATCAATATCCACGTTCAAGCTCTGTATTAAAATATGGGTTAATAACAATTTAATTATTGGAAGCTAATACAGTCATGTGTCACTAAGTGATTCGCTCTTTACATAAATGTTAGTAAACATTCATTAATGATGATATAAATTTGTTAATTTAAATTTTACATACAAATTGCCTTATATCTTTTATTTGTTTTATGCTTAAAAAATACATGTTTATTTTTGTTATATTCATCTCTTATAAATCTTAATATACATTAACAGAAATTAAAAGAATAATATTATATAAAAAAAACTTTATTTAAAAAGTTTTGGTATTTTATTTACTTCACAATTCCAAGATAATTAACCCTATTTTTATAATTCTGAAAGTATACGTACATCTTAATTATGTATTACAAAAGTATTAATAATTAGTATATTAATAATAGATTGCAATTTATTGATAAATAAAGATAATTTTAATGTTTCTGTTAAGAAAATAATTATTTATTTTTTCGTCAACTATTTAAATTTTAGATTTTGTATGGAATTGAGAAGTTTTCGAGATTATCTGATCATCAAAATTAATTATATTATTAGATTGTATAAATAACATATACGCGAAACGTTTTATATGAATGTTGTTTTCTTTGTTTTAGGTGTCCAGGTTGGTTATACTCCACGAAGAAGCGGAAGATGGCAATGCTATGCCGGATTTGGAGCAACCGGTGAAGACTGTTAGCGTAGCCGTATCCAATTTGGTGAAAGTGGGCAGGGATACAATCAACAGTTCCGACGATACAATCCTGAGACAAGACATGCCTTCGGCCCTTGTGAGAGTCGAAAGGTCCTCTAAATTGCTGGAGGAAGCGAGTGGCATGCTGAAACACGATCCTTTTTCTGGACCAGCCAGAAAGCGCTTAATCGAAGGAAGTGGTGGAATTCTGCAAGTAACTTAATCCTAATTATATATCAATCTTATAGCAAATAAAGTAATTTCAATTGTATTTAAGGCTACGTCCGCTCTGTTAGTTTGTTTTGATGAATCGGAGGTGCGGAAAATTGTGCGAGAATGTCACAGGGTTTTGGATTATTTGGCGGTGACGGAAGTAACGGATACCATGGAGGGTCTGGTACAATTTCTGAGGGAACTTAGTCCGTGCTTGAGTAAAGTTACAAGAGATGTTAGCGCCCGTGAAAAGGAGCTAACCCATCAAGTTCATTCTGAAATTTTGGTACGGTGCGTCGAACAAGTGAAGAGCTTGGCACCAATATTAATCTGCTCGATGAAGATATACATTCATATTTTGGCCAATGGTGGTAAAGGCGCCGAAGAAGCGGCTGAGAATCGCAACTATTTGGCGGCGAGAATGAGTGAGGAAATAAATGAGATCATTCGCGTGCTTCAATTGACCAGTTACGATGAAGAACAATCCGATTTAGATAATTTAACAGTTTTAAAGAAACTGCAGAACGCTATTCAGAACAAGATCAACGCAGCAAATGATTGGTTGATGGATCCAAAGGCAGTTAGAGGCGGAATCGGCGAAAAGTCATTAAGGCAAATCATTGACGCTGCTGAAAAAGTAGCTGGAAGATGTTTGCCCCAGGACAAGCAAATTATTGGAAAGTTGTGCTCCGATCTTGAGACTATGACCAATGCTCTGTGTGAGTTGAGACAAGAAGGTAAAGGTGCAACACCTCAGGCTGAATCTTTAGCAAGAGGAATTAAGGAGAAGTTGGGCAGTTTGCAGCAGGCTGTCCTAAATGCTGTTGTTGCAGTAGATAAAGCCGGTCTTCAGCAAACGGCGCACACCGTCCAAGGAAGGTGGGTTTTCTCAAATATTTAGTATAATATCACACACCAAGTTGTATTTTCAGATTGGAACAAGCACGCAAATGGTTTTCTAATCCTGCTCACGATGATAAAGGTTTAGGTCAAAGAGCCATTCAAGCCATTGTCGAAGAAGGCAGAAAAGTAATATAAAGAGAATTCATATTTAAAAAAAAGATTAATGCTGTGTAATATTGTGAGTAGGTTGCTGACGGTTTACCTGGCATTCAAAAATCAGAGGTGCAGCAGTTATGTAACGAGGTGGATGATTTGACTCGGTTTCTGCGAGATCTATGCGCCTCTGGAGAAGGTAATTCGCCTCAAGCTCGTGAAATTTCCAAAAGACTCGCACACAAACTGCACGAATTGAAGGAGAAAATCAATCAGGCAGTTGTAAATCGAGTCGTGGAGGATTTCATAGATATCGTATCGCCGCTAAGACAATTTCATGAGGCCGTTTTGGCTCCGGAAGGTTCACCCAATCGTTACCAAAACTTTGAGGATAAAGCTGCAAACCTGCAGCACTTTTCCAATCGTGCTGTGAAAACCGCTAGGATGGTCGGAGCAGGTGAGACTTTTCTACCTGTAAACTTCAATTACGTATTCTTGAAAGAACCAATCTTTTTGTAGCTTGTAAAGCAGGGTTCTTGCGAAATAGTAAGTCTTTCGTGTTTGTGAGGCCCCGTTTTCAGATTAAATATTAATAATCTATTTATATTTCTTTGAAATTAACAATTAACAGAGATGCGTTTATTAATTGGGAATATTAAACGAATATGTCATGTTTTAGGTGGAAGCGGCGGCAACAAAAAATTAGCTGAGGCTTTACAGAGCGTGGCCAATCAGATGGATAGCCTGACTCCACAGCTGGTGTCCGCCGGAAGCATTCGAATGAATTATCCGGAATCGAAGACTGCCGACGAGCATTTCGAGAATCTTCGTGGACAGTACTCTTATTTGTTAACGAAAATGAGAAATCTGTGTGACGAAACCACGGATTCCGCAGATTTTATCAAATCTTCGGAGGAGCAAATGAAAATACACACGTTCATGTGCGAGGAGGCTATTCAAAATCAAGCACCTCAGAAGATGGTTGATAATACTTCTTCAATTGCGCGACTTGCTAATCGAGTTATAACCGTGGCAAAGCAAGAAAGCGACAACAGTGAGGATCCCACCTTCATCGATGAAATAAATAACGCTTCATACAACTTGCAAACAAGTAAACTGCATATTAATTTATAGAGTATAGTGTAAATAATTATTTTTAATCTTCAGGTATTCCACCGATGGTTCAGAACGCTAAATATGTGGCTATGAATCCAGCTGATCCAGCTGCTGCCTCCCATTGGCGCGAAACTAACAAGGAGGTAAGTTGAGTATTATTAATTGAAAAAGGGCTCAAAGAATTGTTTATTGCAGCTCTTGAAGTCCGTTGGACTGGTACGTCAAGCAATTCAACCGGAACTTCCGCCATTGCCGGACATGAACTCTCTGAACATAGGTAAGTTCGATTATTCATCAAAGATAATCGTAGTACTAATGCACAAAACAATTTAATGGTTACAGAACCTGCGCAAGAATCGCATTTCCAAAACAAAGGTATTAAACACGATAACGAATTACATAAGTCACTTGGTTTTACGCTCTCCTTTAACTTCACAGATTTTTTATTATCTTTATCACACCTTACACCTTCTTCCCGCTTGTTTCTCTCACCATTATTAAATATCATTCGGTTTAGTTTTGCATTTAATCAATATTAATACTTCAGTGGGAGAGTCGGTGCGCAACATCCCTGCACCGGCCAACGAAGATTTCAGAACGCTAAGCCCGAATCAGCCGCACTTGCTGGGCGGTAGGCACAGCCCACTTCCGAAATGGGCTCGAGGTATTATAACAAAAACATTTCATTTAACCGTAACAAAAAGTTCGGCCAAAAATTAATCCAAAATTTTCTGTTCTCCTCTCCTACAATTGTTCAATTGTTATTTTTTGGGCGAAATCTAGGCGATAATTCAGATCTACTTTGCCAGGAACTGAATCCGAATCACTATGATGAGTCAGGTAATTGCAATTACACCCATTGTTCTCGTCGCATTTTTCGGCATGTCATACACATACATATGAACTGCATTTACTGTTATTGGTTTATTGGATTGCAAATTAACCAGCATACATTTGTATGTCGTTAACTAGAATCTTTCAGCATTTTTTGGGGGATTTCGTTTGCATGTTGTTTGTCCGTTGGAAGGTCTTATAATATAAGTAAATCATTTCTTCTGTATCTTATTCTCTCGTTCTGAATTGTGATATATTAGTTAAACAATTCTGTTTGCTCGTATTATTTTTTATGATACATCACATCGCACGTACAAGCAGTTAAATTATCATTACGATTATTATTTATTTAATTGTTTTGTACATTTCATCAAAACTAATGTTGATTGTTTGAATTGGAATGTTTCATGCTTGCATTTTACTTTAAATTAAACTAAAACGAAGGATACTATCGTTTTATTCCACAGTATATCACGGAAGATGGTAATTTTTGCTTACACTATATAAATGTTAGAAGCGCAGTTCAAGTGGTTAAATAAACGAGTCATTTTCTTAGATATGGCACCGCCACGCCCACCATTGCCAACCGTGGGAGACGGAGCTCCGCCTATGAGACCGCCACCTCCGGAAACGGACGACGAAGACGACGTTTTCAAAAACGCTTCCAACGCCAGCCAACCTATCATGGTATTATAACTCTTTGTCGTTACAAAATCGATTATTTAATTTTTACTAAAAAAATCAATAGGTTGCTGCGCACAATCTGCACAGAGAAGTAAAGCAGTGGTCCGCCAAGGATAACGAATTGATCCAAGCGGCACGCAGGATGGCACTTTTGATGGCTCGCCTTTCAGATTTGGTACAGAACGATGACAAGGGAAGCAAACGTGAATTGATTGCCACCGCAAAGTCTATCGCCGATGCCAGTGCTGAAGTCACGAAGATTGCCAAACAATTAGCACTCGAGTGCACTGATAAGAGGATTCGCACGAACTTGTTGCAAGTCTGCGAACGCATTCCAACCATTGCTACGCAACTGAAGATTTTGAGTACCGTCAAGGCCACTATGCTTGGAGCTCAAGGTAAATTATCACCTAATATCATGCGAAATATGTACATATTGCTTACATTTATCATTTTATTACACTGCCTTCCTCAGGCTCTATGCCCAATAGTAAGGGTATACCCAAGAAAGGTAAGGAGCTTTGGTTTGAGCACATTTGATAAATGTGATTAGTGAATTAAGAGTAAGCGCTTAGCAAATATTATTGGGATTTTTGTATTGTCTAGGCTCTGAAGAGGATCGTGAGGCTACGGAGATGTTGGAAGGAAACGCCCAGAATTTGATGCAGAGTGTAAAAGAGACCGTTAGGGCTGCAGAAGGCGCTTCCATCAAGATACAATCACAGACGCAAGGTCGTCTCCGCTGGGTGAGACGTCAACCCTGGTACGCTTATAATTAGAAGATCAACGACTGTTTTCAATCTTGCCAATAACCAACCAATCAATTGAAACTACTTACAATTTACGTTAAAATATGTTTATGTTCTCTCTATACATTTATTACTACTTACTCATCGTGCAATAATTCTTCAATCATTTTGTGATTCCTTTCGTTTATTAATGTTTCTTCCAAATTGTGATCTGATTATGAAGATGATAAAACTTGGGCCTTAATAAAGTAAAACTATATTTAGATATATACTTATGATGATAGAATGTTTGCCTTATAATACGAAATCTATATATAACGAAGATGTTAGATAATGTACAATGAAAGGAATATTTAAATCAGTTTTAAAGAGAATTTCTATTTCTATAGCAGACATTTAATATTATAGCAATAGAATATTTTTATATGCTTTATAGGATAATATTACGATGGAAATATTATATTATATTAGTGCCAAATTTTAGAGAAACAATATTGAAATGAATGACCTATGCAACATTGTTTGAGACTAATTATATATTACTATTAATGACTGCTTTATTGTCAAACTGTTTGTTGATGCTTATTAAATTATTACACAAATATTTTAGATGGAATGATTTTTTTGTAACAAAGTTTATTAATAAACGTTGCGTTAAATTAACTGTTTATTTATGTACTATTTTTTATTAATCCGCGCAAATAAGCGTACTATTTAGTAAGTAACCTATATAAAAGATAGTTTCCTTACTAATTTTGTCAAATAATATTAATTCTAGTTAGTTCAGTTTTCATGAGAAGGCAGTTAGTTAAAAGTAACGTAAAAACTGAGTGCTATTAAATATAGAAAATACGATTGAACAAAAACAAACGAAAGTATTTGAAAAATATGTTTTATTTATAAAATTACTGTATTTTTATTTTACAATAGTATTCAAACGAAAAACTTTCTTTTCACGCATTCAACTATGAGAAACAAGAATTGAAATTCCCGACGATGGAATGTATAAAAAATATTGACAAAAATGTGTCAAAATCAAAAATCTAAAAAAAAAATGTTTAAAATCAGCTTAAATGAATATCATATTATTTTTCATCTGGTTTGGTAACATTCAAATCCTTAAGCGTTTCAATCACTTCATTAGCATCCTCATTACTCTCAATAGCCTCTGGCTCCTCATCATCCTCACTTTCTTCCTCATCTTCACTAGAAGTGACCCCATCTGCTTCCCCATTATACAACTTGCACTCTTTTAATACAAACTGCTGTGACTCGAGGAATGCAGTTTTGAATTGGGTTGCAACTATAAATTAATAAGTTATTTATAATATATTTATTCATATTTTTATAGATAAACTTACTATCAACAGTGCCAAATTTTATTGCCAGACATTCACTTTTAATTTCTTCGTCTGTGAAGTCTGCAGGAACATTATAGACAAAAGCTTTGTCTAATCCTGGCTTTGGTTTCAGCTCCATCAAAGGTGTAATGAAATGATTTGCACACACCTTGAGCGTTTTATCTCTGCGCATTACAATTCTCACAGTCTTGTTAACTTTGTGCTTTAGCATCTTCAGCTCCCCAGTACCTCTCTCTTTCCACTCTGGTATATCATCACTACGATCAAATCTGTATAGCTTTGACCTCACTTGCAGGACAACTTCTTCTTCCTCCTCATTTGTGGGTATCACAACTTCAGGTAATGTAATAATTGGTGCATACTGTGGATCATATTCACTATCTGAAGCGTCACTTACTGAACGGTTACGATCTCCAGCATCCTGAAAATTTAAATTCCAAGATAACCTCAAATATTTTTTTAAATGTAAACGAATGTTGCAAACTGTTTGATGCGTAAGAGTAAGTTTATTAATTATAATTGGAATAATACCTTTACTTCTTCAGCCATTTTTCAATTTAAATATTTCGATAACGTTACTTATAATACTTCAGTTTTGAACGTCAAAGAAAACAATGTGTCCCAATGTGTCCGTTGCGGAAAGCAACTTGTTGACATTTCGAAATTTGACACTAAGAAGCGGGAAAATTATATATTTCTAAAAATGTTACGTTTCAAAAAATCAAAATATTATTTAATTATTTCTGAACTAGTACTAAAGCGAAATGATATAAAGGCTTATTCACTAGTCTTTCTGCATTGAACTTTTATCACCTTAAACTTTAGTATTTCTTTTATGAAAGTAAAATACATTTTGTTTGTATAATATTAGCATTGTTGTAATTATGCTGCCTGTTATTTGACTTTTTTTCTCGTAAAAATTGAATTTGGATTCACAATTTTGAAAGATAACAACATAACATAATTACAAATAAACTAAAAATGTAAATTGTAACTTTTTTTCATTTTATTTATACGTTATTTTTTTTTCATTTGTCTATGACTATCAAATTAATATTATTTAAATAATTTAGTATGTTCATGTGATTAATTTGTCAACCCTTTGATTTATAAGATTGATTTTAGGATATGCAAAAAAAAAGGATTGGAGCTGGTAAATGAGTAAATAATACAAACAACGTAAAAATAATAAATATTTTTCAAATATTCTCTTCAATAAACGTAACGCATATCCTTTAAATTTTTGTTTGAAACAAGTAAAAAAAAATAAAAATACATTTTATGATTCCTTCTCTTTCACTATTGATTGATGGTTAAGTGCATTCTGATAAGCTCTTCTGACAGCCTTCTTGTCCGTTGGCTTCCTCGGTTCGTTTACCTAAAATAAGCAATTCTAATTAGTATACTAATTCTTTAGTGTAGTAAATATATGTACTTTTGATTCGTCTCGTTCCTCGTCGATACCAAGTAATTCCAACTTTTCCGCCGGCAACCACTGCCAGGTTCGCTTTGCATCGAAGAATAGCACCAGGTAGACATGCTCATTGTAGTTTGTGGACAGAGCAAGTACGTCCTTGGGTGGCGATGGAATCGGAACACCTTGATATACATAGCCTTTCGGCATTTCGGGGTCAATAATCAATGCGGGATACCAAGGATAGCCTCTGCATTTAGCCCAGACCAACTGGAGAGGCTTGAGTTTTCCTTTAATGGATGTACTGTTGTCCCCGTGTTCCGCATCGCTACCTTCCTCCTCATCGTCATCTGGAGCAGCAGCCTCCTCAATACTGTGGCATGTATCGGAGTCATCGTCCGATTCAATCTCTGATAATTCTCGGGAGTAGCAAGTGGAGAGGCTTGTGCCGCTATCACTGTTCTCATCCCCAGAACTTTGCTGACGAGCTCTGTAAACGCGAAATGAATCTGGCATGTTATTTTTGCTATTCTTTACATTTTCTTCAGATTTTGTTAAACTAACAGATGATAGTATTGTTGAGGTTGTTGCACTTGCCGTTGTATTGGTTGTGCTTGATGTATCGACTACTCGTTTGGGTCTGCCTTTTTTCTTTCTAAAAATTAGAAAAAAATAATATATTTGACATATACATCAATGATTAAGACATTACGTCTTGGCAGGCGCTGGAGCAGCTTTAACAGGTGATGGTACATCTTCGGTACCGATTTCTTTTTCGTCCGCTGGTTTCTTTAAAGCCGCTTGGGCTTTTCTAGTAAACAGAACAGCAGTTCTTCTATTGACACCGGTAGGAGATGCACCAGCTAAGGCAAAAAAACAAAAAATAAATATAAATTTTAATATTTAAAGTTGATTCAATTTACCGCTGCTACCTTGCGAGGGCGTTTTGGATTCCGCAACTTCGGTTTCACCATCGGATTGTGAGCTATCAGTAGCTTGTGCTAAAGCCCTGCGAATTCTCATCATTTCCGACCTTATCATCTTCACTCGTTTAGCTCTTTGCATACCGTGCCTAAGAGTGTGACTCTTTGCCATCAGATCCTCCAATTTGACAAGAATCTCAGCACCTTTTTTACCTTTAAGAGCTTCAAACGCCTTATCAATTTCCACGGAAGTAACTTCTTTTATTTCAGCTACAACCGGTTTAACTTCAACTACTTCCTCAACCTTCTCTACCACTACTGGTTCTGGTGGTGGTGGAATAGACAACAGACCGGCAGCTTCAAGATCTTTCTTACCTTGTTTAAAGATCGCCCCGCACTGTTCGCGCATCTTAATTCCCGCTCTAAAAGCAAACAAAAATTATAAACATTATCGCTTAGATAAAGAAAACTTACTTACTTATAAAATACTGTGTCTTTATTATTGTAAGCTAAACAATTAGCGATCATCAGATCAAAATCTTTTTCCATCACCGTTAAACTTTCGTATTCGGAATTTTCCAATTTCAAACGCATGGTGCTGAGATCCATTGGATCCGTGACAACAGTTGTATAATCAGGAACCTCCTCCAAATCTACAGGCTCGCTAAAAATCTCGTTAGTGTCCTTTGCACTGATCAATTCCAATATCTTTCTCAGACTCGCTTCTAAAGGTCGCAGCTGGACATTAAGCGTCTTCTCCGTTGCTTTCAGCAATTCTAATTTTAATTTCTCGCGTTTCCTAACTAGCTCACATAATAGCCTCGCCCTTTCCAAATCTTGACGTAAGCACTGCCAGTACTTAAGTTGTCTGCAAAGTTCCAAAGTATCTACGTTTGTTGTATTGGAATCCCTGGTGCCACCTTGTGCACTCTGAAGTCTGCGCAACAAAGGCACGCCGTTCCTGAATTGCCTTTTCAATGTCCAGTATGCAATTAGGCGCTGAATGAATTGAGATTTTTTCTGTATAGTTACGAGCGATCCAATCTCTTGGATTCTTTCTGGTGGTATTGTGGGAATCAGAATGACAGGTACAGTTCCTCGTTTCTTGGCTAACATTTTTCTAGCCTGCTTCATTTTGGTTTTGGCATCGTCCTTTTTAGCATCATCTGATAAAATATTTTGTTAAACATCTACTATTGTTAAAGTACTATCGTAATGAACTTACTAAATTCAGGTGGGGCATGAATATCACAGTATGCAATTTTTTGCACCAAGACCGGCTGCGAATCACCACCACTGTCTTTTACTGTATCCATCTTCATGTAAAGTCCAGCCTGCTGGGCACATGTCACGTGAAACGCAGAATAACAATTGGTTTTATGGCATTGAATGCAAGCACCAACTCCTTTCTGTTTGCAGACATAACACGATAGCTTCCAACGCGCTGATGGAATAGTTTCAATAGAATCGATAGGTTCTAAGAAGACGGTATTAGCAAATCGAACTTCAGGAATCCATAAGGCGCAAACAACGTGAGCCCATTCACTCCTGTCCGTTTGTTTGAATGCTCCACCTTGATTTGGACATAAAACGCAATCAACCGCTCTACTTGGTGACTGTAAACATCTGAAAATATAAATTAAAAAATATCCACAAATTTAATATTTTGAATACCGTACCGTCGGCAGAGCCATTGGCCTTCAGGTATGTAAGGTACACCATAACAATCTTGATGCACTGCCAAATTGCACATGTCACAGAATAAAATTACATTGGTGTTTTGGCATTCTCCATCCATGCAAATGCAACATACAGCATCATCATCAACTACACTTCCAGTATGTCCATTGACTGAAGCTTGAAAGTAAGATTCCTTCTCCAATCTATCCATAAGTAATTCCAAAGAATCCACAGAAACAGGACTTAAACCAATATCCTCACGTTTTTTATTCATTAATTGTAACCAAGCTGTATCTTCCTCATCTACATCATATTCAACTTCACCATCCAACTCCTCAGCACTTTTTTCAATGAACCTAATATAGGCATTGGGCCTGGCGGGAGCATCACATATGTTGTAATTCTCCATTTCTTTGTAACTTGCTTCTGGTAATGGCACATGAGCTTCTGAAACATATTTTCTATAATATAAACAAATATAATACAAAAACAATATATTACCTTTAATATCTTCAGATTTTGCATCAATTCCACTATCATCATCTGGTAATTCATCATTGGTAACTACCTCCATATCTTCATTGATATTCAACCTGACCACATGACCACCTAATTCAAATTGAACCATCTTTTGAGCTTCCTCATAGGTTAGTGGTTCTGGTGCAGTAAATACTGGTTGTGGAGGTGGAGCCTTTGCAACCCTTGATCTCCCTATAAAATAAGTTATAAATAGTGTAGTAAACATAGCAACAATAACAAACCTTTCTTGTTCTTTGGAGTAACAGGTTTTGGTGTTTCAGGGGTAGGATTATCATGATCATAACTTTTCAGGTGATACTGCAGACCACACACTGATTTATATGTCCTCCCACATTTTTGTATTGGACATGCATAGGGCGGTCCATGCTCTGCTCGCACTTTCTTGCAATGCTCCAAAATATCAAAATCCAATCCCATGTTTTAGGTTATGTTCTAATATACAATCACGGAACTACTAAATAAACCATTTCCACGCCATGTTCGTAATAATAATTGGTCTTAGCACTCTACACTACACTAAATTAACACTACAAGAAAGGTAAGCAATAATGATAACATATTTCATTTTAAATAATGCAACAAACAAAAATCGAAAATCAACGTACACTTGCGTCAAAATATACGCTTGACAATTGTAAATATAAAAGTTTACATCGAATACCCAGTAGTTATAAGTACTGCCAACTGTAGTCAGTACTAGTTTTTTCAGTATTATTTTTTCAAATCCAGGGGGACCAAGTCATATGAGAAATCTGTTGTATAGCCACTGCGGTGGCGTTCCTTAGTACATGGAGAGCACATAACGCGGCGCCACATGTACCAGCAAATATAAAAGCGCCAAATAATTTGAAATTTAAAATAATAAAAAAAATACGCAACTTTGAGATTGATATAGTCAGGATTTTGATTGTCGGGATTTCGAACGGATTACTTTTGATTGAAATATACAGCATTTTTATTTTAGTCATATGGGCGCATCACGTATTCTTAAAAATACATTAATCCCATTCCTCTCATTGGTGCTCATTAAGCGCTCCGGTGTACCATGTATATTTGTATCATGAATATTATTTGCTTACTGTTATTATATTTCTCGGAACATTACCCAACTTTGCTGAAGACTATTGCAATAACACCTGAAATCTGTTTGACAATATCTGACTATAATAAAAGGTTCCGAATGATTTCGATTGCTTCCGATTTCATCCGAAATATCTTCTTTTCTACTAGCGTTATAAAGTGAATAGTTGGTACTACCCTCAAAAAAATGTATTCACTTTGGTCTCCCTGGTTGTGTCCAACCATTATTATAATTGTTATTGTTAATATAGAAAAAAACAAAATAAGTATTTACGAAGACACTTAGTCTATACGTCTTATTGTTATATAAGTAAAAGGGACCAATCGTAAACAATCCCATTGATACGTAGGAATACGGATAATACCTTTTTGAATACTCCGAGTACCTTTATATGCACATAAGAATCTTCCCATCTTAAATCATAATGGATACTTTTTTCATATAAACAAATGCCGAATTCCGTGACAACGTTTAATCATCATTAATAACAAAACCTTACTCCTAATCACAACTCCCAACCCGTAATAATAATTTAATTCAGATGAATTTTAAATTGACCAAGTAACGAATTAAGTTATGTAAAACTTAATTAATTTCTTTAATTTCCTCCCAACTAATGAGACTTCACAACACCTAAAATGTTCGGGATTTTGAAACTGTCAGGATTATGGTTGTTTTGATTGATTAAAAATGGACATTAAAACCTATACCAGTTTTCAAGAAGAAGGATCAAATAATAAATAGTCACAGACTATTTTTGAATTTTGAAATATAAAATATTCTTTATTAATAATATTGCAAATTCAGTCCAAAACTGTTCTGGTGTTTCACACAAGTAATATAATTTGATTATATAAAATTCTCACAACATTAAATATATAATCTCTCTGGAAATAAAAAATAATAATAATATATATATATAAATTTAAGAAATTGCATTTCTGTAATAACAATGTTTGCAAGCAGTATTGTTTGAATAATTCGCAAACAATTATAATAGTACGTCCATTTATATATATAATTCATTCAATTCCCGCATAAATGTTAAAGAACATAATAAGAAGCACGATAAAACACAAACAAGTATATACATATTAACAAGGAAACAAACGAATTATTAGATAAGGAACAAAGTCAAACTTAAGTAATCCAACATATAAATAATATTAAGAAATAACTCTACAAATAAACGAACATATATTTACAATTTCACTCAACAGGCGAGAGATTAAATATAATAAAAAAATATACAATAAATAGTTTGCTAGGACGACGACCACAATATAAATAATGCAAATGTATATAAATAAATATTTTGTGCAAATTTGGGCGACTATTTTCTAACAAAAAAAAATATAGATTACACACAAAACACAATATATGTAAATAGATTAAGACGCTCCACTTGTGCGTATCATTGTAATAACAATGGCGTTGGCGAGTGGTAAGTTTTTGACATTTGTTTTGAAACTGGGGGACGTGATAATCATTTAATTTATTAAACATCGCGCGTTTCGCTCTCCTGCATCTTAAATTTTCTAAATTTCTAAAAACACGAAATCGAAACCAAAATCAGGACACGAGAAAATTTCATATATATGTGGAATGTATATGGAAAATTGTTCAATTCTGAATTTACAATTTGCATTACAAAAATTTAAAATAGAATTGAACTATTTAACTTACGCTAAATGAAAACTTTCTTCTTCATCATCATCTGGATTTCACATGTCGTTGAGTGTTAAGCCAAGCCGCCGTGCTCTCGAGTTCTAAATTGGTGCATTCGCCTGGAAAGATCATCGGAACTGTAAGCACCGACACGTTTCAAACGCTTCACCCTGCAAGAGTTTGTGTCTACCTTATTGAGCATTTTTACTAGACTGGATGCGGGACTTGTAGGTAAAGGAGAGGAAATACCCGTACTGGGCAACGACAGTTCAGCAAAGGTAGGAGTTGATGGTCTAGAAGCAGGTCGAAGCTTCACCTGCTTCAACATATCCATCGATATTACTGGTTGCGTAGAACGGCGCTGCAATTTAGGAGTTTGACCACGATCCTAAGATTCAATTTTAGATTACTATTCCCTTGATTCAGATGCAAACTTACCCCAGCTTTGCGTAATTTCACTTTAAGTATGTCATCTAAAGAGATTACCGGACGTCCATTTTCTTTGTCACCTTTGTCCTCTTTAGCGGCATTCCGATTGATTTTAATGCCTCTACTGATCGGAGTGCTCGTGCATAGTGGCATTGGAGGAGGAATAGGAGGCGGCGGCGGTGGAGGAGGTGGTGCAGCGGCCATTGAAATGAACGGAGGTGGAGGTGGCGGTGGTTTAGGTGTATGATCTGCGCAGAGACTAGGCCTAGGTGTATTGGCCAAAGCCACTTTAATCGCTTCCAATTCTTGACGCAACTGCGATAAGTCTTTAACTTCCATCCGCAGCTCTGCTACCTCCTTGTTAAGAACACTCACTTCTCTCTGATGCGCTTCATCCAATTCAGACATTTTTTTGCAGATCTCATCCAGCTTCGATTTATAATCGTCACAGGTACACTGCGAAAGCGTTGCATCTGATTTCGTTTTGTTATACATGGCCAAAAGTCCCTAAACAGATATTCATTCAAATTAAATCAAAATGCTCATGTATATGTTGTTACCATTTTGATCGAAATTCCGAACCACGAACATACTTCTATGATTTTGTCCGCCCATTTTGACGAATGCTTTTTATGGAAAGACCGAAATCTAGATATTAACGAACTCGATGAACTAGTATTAACAAAGTTTAAGATGGAAGAAGAGGAGTTTCGCTCAACCGAGCATCGCTTGATCGGCGAAAAACTTTTAGGAATTACATATTCTGACTTGGGGCTCCTTTTAGGTACCACATTCTCAACATTCTTTTTGTTGCATAATTTAATGTACGCATTGCGTGCCACCTTTGGTGATATGCTTTTATAGAAACGCTTCTTGTTTATTGAGAATACCCTATTTTTATTAAAAATTGGATTATCAAATTCATCGCGATTAATCTAAAAACCAGTTGAACCTGATGATTAATTAAAAGAGAGATCAGGGGATGGACAACAAAATTACCTTGTGAGTCTCAGTGAAATCATAGTTGAACGAGTTCTTTTCATTGATTTGATTGTTAATGAAGTTTTTGGCTACGGAGAAAATTTCACCGCTCTTCAATATTTTAATCGGAGTCGAACTCGGTGCACAGTATGGTGAGAAACGTGTATCTCCGCTGCTCGGCACGATATTTGTGGCAACCACAGGTTTTTCAGCATATAAGTTTTTGGGCGTTTCAAAAATCTGCGCAAAGCTGTGAACGTCGTATTCCATGGAATTGTTGTAATAAGCAGTTTGCGTGCCTACGTCCACCTTGACCACGGCCTTCTCGCAAACTGGGCTCGCCTCTTTCGTGTAACACGATATCGAGTTCTTCATAAGATTATCAAACTTAATATCGCGAGTATTCAGAAAGTTAGAAGAAGCAACCATCTGTGGTTTCATGTTTCTCTCTACCGAATCTCGAAGCTTCTCTTCAAACAGCATATTCAGGTTCGTACAGTTTAAATTGTCGTTTCGGATCTTTGCCAAATTCCTGTTTTTGGGTGTCACGAACGAATTACTTCTAGTGCGCGCGGTGTCTATGTTGATCTTCTTACGAAGCACCAATGAATTACTGCGGAGGACGCGGGGTGTGGTCTCCGTGTTTTTAATGGGAGTGACGACGACAGGCGTCTTATGTGTGTTCAGGGGTGTCGAAATGATGGAGTTGTTAGGCACCTGTGGAGCAAACTCCTGTTGCAGCGTTTCTGCATGATAACTACTGTCATTCTGCCTGCTATCATTGTGCGCCCTTTTTCGATTCCTTCGATTACGTCGCCTCTTCGCCATCGTAGCACTTCTTAGTAACAAAATCAAAATGCAAAACGTTATTGAGATGATGGTGAACAATATCTGATATACATTAATAATAGCCATAAGCTTCAATGTGACAACTACTGGTCGCCAACTTATCCGTTTATAACTCAATTTATGAGACAGATAAGCACCATTTAGTAGAAGAAAGTAATGATAATAATAAAAATCTCAATTTATATGTTAATGTAATTAAATTACCAGAATTATTATTATTATTACTCACAATACATTATTTTAATTAAGGGAGTAGCAAACACTAAATATTAATAATTTAAAAAGATATCATCACACTAAACATGTAAATAATTTTGTTTTTTATTTTAATTAGACAATAATTGTATATGAATCCAATTAGAAAACTGAATACAATATTTTTAATATCATAAAATCCGCTATATCATTCAATAATCAAGTATGTTAACATAAAATGCATGCTTTGAAACAAAAAACTAAAATAAAATAGAATTTACGTTGACAAATAACTGTTAACTTTTTTAAACAATTCAAATGTTGAGGTTAACATTTTCTTACCAAATTTTTATCGCCTGTTGTCCATTAAGCTGTTTGCTTGTTCAATTAAATAAACTAATAAAATAAACGAACACAAAGATCAATGTAAAATAAATATAAGTATAGCAGAAACAGAAGGTTTACTTTTAACGGATGAAACGGTCTCTGGACAGGTGAGCAGCGCATGCCCTCCAATGCCCTCGAACACGGCTACCAACAGAAAGTAAGCGAAAATCACCACTCATAAATAAATCTTCAAACTACGATATTCAAATGCTTATATTTCATACTTAACGATACAAAATGAAATAATAATTAATGTACATTTGCATATATTCTATGTACACTTACTTCAAGTATCAACAGTTACAAAAAATGATGGCGTACAAGTGTTCATGTAAACGAAATTTTGTAGATGCAAAATATCTTCCTTTATTCATTTCTCTATTTTATATTTTTTTATAAATATATTTTCCTAAAAATAATCACATTTTTAAGTTTTAAATAAACATAATAAATCTATTAAAAAATAATAATAAAAATAAACAGAACACTCTTTGGTGTAACAAATAATACCACATGTAAATGATGTGATAATACAAGAAAAAATATGTTTATATATATAATTAATAAATACATAATAAAAATGTGTTGTGTTTGTAAATAATCTATTATGTAAAAATAAAAACACATGTATATGTGTACCACGAATCAGCGGCGATACAAAAAAAAATGAAAGAAATTCGATTTGTCAATTCGATAAAAGGTGAAAATTTAAAAGGGAACTACGTGAAAATATATATATATATATGTATGTTGGTGGAGATGACCCACAATTGCACTTCTTTATTAAATTTCCTGCTTGTAACCACCAACTTGTTAATTGCACAGGTTAAATGCTGTTTAATATTGGAGTCACTAATTAGATGTTAACTTTAGTCTGTCTGCGATCGACGAGTTTTATGTCGCGTACCTGTAAATTGTTGTCACTTTTAGCTGCAAACTTGATCAGAGCTTGCGTGGACACTTGGGCGGAATGCCTCAGGTCCAGCTTAACAAGATTCACGCATTTACTTAAATGTTCCAAACTCTGTTCAGTCACCAGCTTGGAGTGGCTTAAATCGAGCGAAATCAAATTTGTGACAGTGTTAGCTGGTTTCGTGCTTAGCTGGGCGATGCCAGCATCTGAGATACGAGCGCAAGAACTCAAGCTCAGGTGCTTTAAATTAGGTAAATACTGAGTTACGTAACGCATTGCGATGTCCGTGATATCGGTGCCAGCCATCCTCAACGTGTGCAGATTGCGCAAACGTATTTTCTCATCGGTGAAGACCTGTCGCGAGTCATTATTGGGTCCTAAGATTTCCCTGAGGGCAGAATCATTGAATCCAGTAACAAAACTCAGGTCGAGCACCTGTATTTGGGCACAATAACACGTTCTCAGTGCAATCACCGGATGCAAATTAACGCTAATCAGGCTTAACTCTTTTAGGCACGGGGTTCTCTGGATCAGCCAAGGTAGCTGATATTTATTGATTGTGCACCAATCGAGTATTAATGTTTCCGGTTGTCTGCGCACGATTCCCTTCAAATGATCGGACGTTATGTGCTTCTGCGAGAAGTTCATGTTCTTCCACAGCTGAGGATCGATGCTAAACGTGGACCAAGTTTTGCACACCAAACTGCACGTATAAAGATCTTTAGGATACAAATATTTAAACACTGGTATCATTATTCTGCGGTCCAAAGCGTTGCTGGCTGCGGACAATTGTCCTGCCGTTGAGATCGGTGTGGGACGTACCACGTACATCGGTTTCTTTAACAGTCTGTTGGTGCCGCTGGTTATTTGCTGGGCCAAGTGCATGCGCACAGCCAATTTGTTTCCAGCAGTCACCGTCGGAGAAGGCGTCGGCGTTACGCTCGCACTAATTACCGGTTTTATATCCTCTTGATCACTTAATCGGCGCTTTTTCACTGGCACACTTTCCTTTCTATCCTTCTCGCTATCACTGTTACTATCACTGCAAGCATCCTTTTCTTGCTTAATATCCAATGCACTGGAAGCGTCCGAACTTATTGACATCCGCCGCATATCTGAGGATTTATTGCGTGCCCTGAAATGCCTAGGCCGGTAATCCGAGTTCTTTCCGAGTTTACAGCACAGCGGGCATTCCCATGAATTAGGCATATCCTCGTTAATGTAACCAGAAAACTGGGAACACAGTCGGTGAACACAATTTGGATGCGCGATCTCGTAGCAAACCTACAAAAAACATCAACCATCAGCACATCGAGTCGACAATAAACGTAAATGCAAAGTCTTACGGAACATTCCATTAAACTGCTGGCACTCTCGCATCTTTGAGGACCTTTCTGAAGGGGTATAATTGGCGTTTGTCCCCAACCGTCCAATCCACAATGCACACAAGCAGCAGTCACCGGAAGCATTGGTTGTAAACACTGACGCATGTTACACGTTTGTTTGGCTCTACCAGGTCCACCGAATTTCACCATATCTTTAAAAATAAACGCAATCAAATTACTGTAATCTAAAGTGTATATAATATTATTACCTAAGCAGAAACTGCATTCTCCACAGTCATTCCTCTGACACGCCTCGCATTTCTTGCATCTGGTCCTCCTTCTTCGTGGTCCACCCTTGTCGTTAGCCCCAGGCGGTCCCTTAGGAGTTTTCGGGGTTGACGGTTTTGCGGGACCCTTGAAAGTTGGTGGAGTTTTTTGCATCGACTTTATAAGAGGCTGCTTCATTTTGTTCTCTTGCTCCTCAGCAACTATTTAGAGCAAAAACATTATGGATTAACATTACAATAATTATCAAAGTTAAATAATATACCAGTTAAAATAGGGCGACCAGTAATGGCTAATTCTCGAGAGTCTTGTCTGTGTAATCCAATCAACGTTCTAACATCGTTGATTAGCGCGACTGGGTCTTTGATTAGATCTGGTACGTTCTTCTTGTTATGTGGAAGCATGTGTAAATAAAACACGATAGCCTAGAAATAATTTTAAAATAAATATAAACACTTTTAACTGTGATGTATTAATTACCTTAAGGCCATGCAGCTCGGAATGTGTTAAGTGAATATGCGGTCGTTCAGGAGGAATCACAACATCCGTACCGCTCGAGAGATGAGATCTTCCCAAAATGCAATGAACGTAGCGTTCTAGAACGTACCAAAGCATCTCAGTGAAGAAGGGATATCGAAATTTTTGAGGCACCTGCGAAATAACCATACAATTATATATTTATTATAATGTTATTTTAATCGAATTTATTACCTTTGTCGTGTCTTCGACTTGCGCAATTTTTAGTTGCTTATCGATACCAAAGGAATGCAAAAAGTTTCCGCCGAACACCAGCGAGTCGACTGGTGTGTAAACGGCGTGTATCCAACCAGTTGGGATGAAGAATGTGTTACCCTCCTTAAGTTCAATTCTTGCGCATTTCTCTACGGTGTCGCCGAAGAATATGTCCGATTGCTTGCCGGAAAGAACCCATTTCTCGTACAGTTCCAAATTAGGTTCTGTGGGCGGTATGAGCCAGAAGACTTTACCACCTTTCAAGATATGATACCAGACGGAGGTTCCACCAAAATCGACGTGAAAATCTGTGTAGCATCCTTTCACTGACATTAAACAGTACTTCTGGACCTTAGGATATTTCATATCTTCCAACAAATTTGTTGCTTCAGTCTGACTCTCCTTCAGGTGCCTCGGCCACACGCAATCCACCCAATCAACTTGTCTAAATACAAACATAATTAGCTATATTAACGGATATATTCTTACAACCGCATATTTACCTAACCACCGTTGGTGTCTGTATGTAATTCTCCAGTTTCGTATGAGAAAACTCCAACGATATAACATTCAGTAATCGATCTTTGTCCGTGTCCTCGTAATATTTCTGCCATTCCTTCATAGTCATTTCGCTATTCTTCTGAGTGTTTACGTCCATGACGTCCAGGATGCGTCTGGATCCAACACACATCCTGACGTCGTTTATGGTAAAGTTATTCGTCGGTACCCTCAGACCGAGTCCGGACTTTTCTTTAAAAAGCAAGGGCGTATTGAAACCGTGTCTTTGCAAATACGCAACAGTGAGTTCTTGTCCGTGCATTTCTTTAACGATATTGTGGGCAGCGAAGCCAGGGTCATCCAATTTTTCCTGCAGAGAAAATGACCTGCGTCCTTCGATTTCATCATCCCCGAGCGCCCAATCTTCTGAGTATAATTTCTTATGTTTCCTTTCACGCTGTTAACAAAAAATAATAAACTAATGTTAGCAAACACGACCATGGCAATTACAAATTAAATTCAATCATTTCAAAGACAATTACTTTCAATAAACAATAAAACATTGATAACCTGTTAGAGAGAAACCTCCAAATACAATTACTAGATTATATATATATATATATTCCAATTTCATCAATTTATTCTAAAGAAATCACTACAAAAGACACTTTTTAATATTAAATTCAAGTATATTATTATGCATCGTATTTGCATTTGTAAACAGATCCATAGTCGAAATAGAATAGGACTTATGCAGGCACATGTTTGATTAAATATTTTACTTGATATACAACACACAATTTATTGAAACACTTTTTCATCATCTCCTTTAAAAAAAGGCTCCTATATTAAAATCTAGAAATCATATATTAAATTTTCTTTCAAATCGCTTGAGTAAAATTTCTGAATCCGGATTTTTGCGAAAGTAAGAAGAAAACATCTGTCAATTACAGTTAGAGATTATCCGTATTATCACAAACCGGTTTTGACATCTAATTTCATAACGAGTGATGAAGCAAAGTTCCGAATTGTGCGCCTGCTTTGTCATTTTCAAAACTTGTGTACACATTTTATGTGTATATTTTGAATATATTAACCATAATTGATTGCTTTTGTCATCTTTGTTTATTGCGGATTATGCTTTGCAAATATATTTATGTTTGCTGTAAAAACAAAAGAAAAAAGTATTGTGTCTAACCATTATTATAGTAAATAAACAAACTATGTACGGTTTTTAAAAAAACAAATATAAAAAGTAGTCATTTTACTTGCATCTAAGTGTTATATATGATCACACATATTTCCAAACTTGTGTTCAGACATGTTATTTGTGATTTTTTGACGACAAGGAACGCATTATCGTATTTTACATTAGTATATATAGGAAAAAGCAGATTGCTTCAATATATAGTTAAACTTCGTCGGCACACTTAAATTATTATGATGTTTCAATTTTGATATTTAAGCTGATTGTTCTTTGCACTTCTTTGAAAAATAATTTAATTAACGATTTTTTAAATTTTTGCGATACATCTGTGATGCTTTCACAGCACAGCGATTCAAAATCATATTAAAGTATTTCTTAAAATACTTATTCATTCATATTTGTTGCATAAAAGTTTTATTGATTGCAAGACAAAGGATTTATTAGTTGGCAGAACTATATACGTTATATAAACTAATTGCATTCAAAGGCTAATGAGAGAGGTCCTTTTGCTATGCATTGTATAATTATATCTAAATTGGATACATGAAAATAATGAGACAACGTTGACTACAAATTACCTTTTAATAGGAGTATTCAAACATTTAATATTACACAACGCTCACATATTGTTACAATGCTATAACAAATATTGTAATTAGTACAACATTTTGAATTTAAAAAAGTTACAAAATAAAAAAAAAATGAATTTAGTAGCGTAATAAGTCATAAAACTGCATATATACTAAAAAATGTAGTAACAAATACAAACACCATTATTGTAATAAAAAATCTCATTATTGTGTTAAAAACCAAAGAAAAACATTTTTAGTTTGTATGCAAATATTATCGTTATCAGGAAAAACAATAGCCAGTGCGCCTTTGTTTATCATATGTAAACATACATTTCGAATAGTGAGAACAATACTATTTAATGGTGAGCTTAGTAAAAACTCTGTAAAGTCAATATATTCGTTCTAGCAAATTATAATTAAGTTGAAAATAAAAAAAGATAACATAACATAATTTAATTGAAAATAAAAAATCCAAAGGTTTCTTAAGAAATTGATTTCAAATCTTCTATAATATTTATAATTATATTATAAATAGAATATTTTTTTTTACCTTTGGGCCAATATTTTTTTTTAATAAATTGTACTGAAATTCTTTATATTCTACAAATTACAATCTATAATTAAATACATGAGATTACACATTTGAAAAACAAATCATTTTTTTACAGCAGAAACTCCTAATTCTGTACAACATAATAAACTTATTTTTATTGCATATTTGATATTCTCAGAAAAATTTCTGAATCAGAAATTGGGGTAAGATATTATGGAAATAATATATTAACAAATTATATAAATATCGGATTTCGTTAATTTTGGGACACCCTATGTAAGTAAACATAAAGTTAATCTAGATTCAATAAACAACTTGGGTGTACTTTTAATTTATGATAAACATTGGACGAATCATGTTAAACTAAACATGATTCGTCTTAAATATAAAAACAATACCGTATATATACACATAATAATTATTTTGAGTGTTCGATGTATATAAAAAGTACTAATAAATAAATTAATTCCAATCAATAATATTTTTCATGCTTATATAAGCTTATATACGCGATTTTTTTAAATAACAAACCAATATATTGGGATTTAATATAACAAAAAAAAATCATGTTCGTTGCTTTATTAAAAAAAAAACCTATTTTTTTAAATAATTTTTACCTTAATCAATATTTCCCATCGCCCACAGTCAGGAAATGTGAAATTCGAAAATCGACTCGTCGAATTATGTATATGTTACATAGGGGACATAAGAATTTTACTTAAGCTTAGGTGGGATATGGCAGAAAGAAGGTTGGGGAAACACTGATCTAAATCATTTTCAACCAACGGATGTGCATATATATCTGTGCCACACATATTTGTGAAATAAAAAATCAATTCCTAGAACTCCCAAATCTATTGATTAGAATAGTTTTATGACTCATCCTATCGTATAATATGTTACAGATGTGTATAATAAAATGCAAACAATATCGCACATAAAAAATTGATAAAAGTTGCTTAAACACAAATATACTATTGTTTTATATCTATCTTTGTTGATATAAATAGAAAGTAATACGGAGTGGAATTGTAACCAAAAAACATTAAGTCATAAATTAATGTTCTATAATAAAAGATTTGTTAAATTTGATTTAAATAATTAAAGATTTTCAGAAACGTTTATGTAATATCGTAAAAGTTTTTCAAATAACGAGTGACGAGAAAAAGAGAAGAATTATGTGTATTTTTGTATATATTAAACATTTTCGTTTTTTTTGTATAACCGACTATAATTTGCAAATATAATTTGTGTTTGCTGTAAAATCAAAACAAAATTGTATTGTGTCCAAGCATTATTATAATATATAAACAAACTATGTACGCTTTTTTATATAAACAAATATTAAAAGTATAAAGAGACCACCACAAAGATCCCGGATCGATACAAGTAATATAAACAAATGTAGTCAGGCGTAAACTCGCTTCACCGTGTTTGAATGAGAAAACAATTCCTGGTGTTATTCTAGTTGTGACATAGTATCGTTTGTGAACACACATTCTAAACTTGTCTTCGGACATATTATTTGCAATAATTAATTTTATGTTAATAACGTTATATATAAATTTTTATTTTTTTCGGTATGGAACGCATTATCGTATTTTACATTAATTTTTATGGGAAAATGTCTTTCGCTTAACGAGTAAGGGACGGATTATGTTCGTTAAGCGAGGTTCTACTGTAACTTATTAATATATCGGTAAACGTGAATAATTGTGCATATGTCAAAACGTGTTATATTCCCTTTATATTTAGTGATGGTAATTAGTTGTGTCTTCGATTCGTCACGTTTCTGTAACGGAGGAGTTCCCACATAGACAAATTTAAAGAATTATTTTACACACTATACAAGAGGAAAATCAACCTATAGATTTTTTTCCAACTGTTATACAGTGGAACCTCGCATAACGAGAATTTCGCTTAACGAGAAAAATGAATTATAAGATAAATTACTCGCTTAATGAGTGACGTTTTGCATAACGAGAGACGATGAGAGTAGTACACATAAATATGATTCTTATTTATAATACATCTGATCGTTTCTTTTCCCGGACTGAACATATAAACAAACTTGACTGCATCTCTTTGTATGTACAGTCCGGTATAAAACAAATAGTGCTATTACAATTTAAAATGAATTGGTAAATCATATTTAACGATCCTATAAACTTAGGTTTAATACAAATTAGTAATTAAAATAATTTAATTATAATTTTATGACAATATTATGTTACATCAATCAATCTGTGCATATTCTTAAATAATATAAATAACTAATGTACATAATGAATATAAACATTTATGAAAATTGATTGGTTATTGTCTGTGCAATATCAAGCAATAGATGAGTTGTATGTTTCTGCACTAATAATGTTTGTCGTGGATGTACAAGATTTTGCAATATTTAAAGTTCATTTCGTTGCTTAATGTAGTTGCGCATCAATACATAGTGAAAAAAACATTACAACTTCATTGCAATCAGATAAATTGAAATCATGTCGAGATTCTATATTATTTATTAATGATTTTCGTTTAAGAGATTTCAGCGACTTTATTCTCAAAAACCGATAAAAGTTACTAAATGAGTACTTTAATTTAATATTTTTAGAATGTTTTTAGTACAAAATACACACTGTTACTCTTTTGAATTATGTAAAATAAAAGTTCCCATTTTTCAGACATTTCGCTTAATAGGTAAGTGATATAAGATAAAATGAATATTAGGTGAAGTAAAAAGTTCTTCGTTAGAAGTAGTGAGCCATATCTCACGATGTATACCTTGTATCTTGTCATTCAATACTGCGAATTAAAGACGGCATAACGCATTAAAAAAGTTCTTTAAAAGTTTTGTGTTTAGTGAGTGCAGTTATGTGTTAGAGCGTTCCAAAATGAAGGTAAAAAAGAGAAAATTCGATACATTCTTCAGTACCACTACGACTAAGGGGAAAATCGAAGCGAGTGGCCAAAAAATTGTGTTGTTTGTGGACCCAATACAGTATCGAATACAACGACAAAACGTTGGTTCCAATGCTGCCGTTCTGGGAATATGGACGTCGAAGATGAGACACGCTCTGGTAGGCCAATCGTCGAAAATGTTGATAAAATCATGGAAATCGTCAAGTCGA